CGATTTTCCATGTATATGGACTCTGGTTCCTGGATTTAAACAACATTATCGAGAGACCGTAGCACACTATGTGCTTTGTGGGGCAGAGGTTTTGGGTGGTTTATTTTTATTGTGTAGCCCCCTGCTATTTTGTCACTGTTTCTCAATAAGCACTTTTAAAATTGGAGTTTTATTCTCTGCTGTCTGTATTTAGTCTCAGAATGATGAGGTAACTGTGTCATGCCTCTCAAATGACTTGTTTCCACCCATCTCTTCTGTTGTGGACATATGCAGTATTCAGTATGTTGCTGCATGCCCGCAACCACCTTCAACAGAGACTTATCCACAGGAACTTGGTCAGCCTGGATTGTATGCTGTGGACAAGCAAAACCCCCTTCATGCAGATTGTTAGGAAACCAAGAACCACCATTCCTTATACCTTATCCTGAAGCAATGTCTTATTATGACACCACTACCATTATCTGGCTCTGGCTGCCTCTCAGGCACTTGTCCTCCTTTCCCTCTGACCCTGTTCAGGAATCAGATTCAGAACTTTCTTAACTTGAAGATATGGAGGAAAGTATTGGGGACATTAATTTTGTTGGGGGGGATGTCCATCCTCTTAAGCTTATGAGGTACAAACTACGGCCTTGAGCCAAATTCTTTCCACTGTGTACACACTAATTGATGCGATGGGCACTAGCCTGTCCCTAACAGCACCAAATTCTCTACAGGCATAACAAAGCCCTATGAGCAATAGGAAACTGTTTAAGTCTCAGTTTTTTTTGTTGATCTTTATCCTATGGAAAAGGATTTTTTTTTAAATGATCTATTTCAGTAGTGGATTCTGACATTTCAGTTCTCAATAAACACCTTACAGTTTCTATTGAGGATGTTCCCTTCTTTAAGGAAGCTGTTGATGGACATTTTCAAGCCTTACCCTGCAGCCGACAGTTTCTGCAATATCATTTTGCTAGACTATGACCAACTGGTTGAGATGCATGAACAGAAATCAGGGACTTGTCTTTTGAAGACCCTATTCTTAGAAGAATTACAGCTGATAACTGATTATCTCTGTGCACATGTGCAGGAGTTTGTGGCCAAAAGTTTAGTTTGCTGAACATGTTTCTACACATGCCATTTAATAGTGAATGCCTCTTTTGAAATCCGTTGACAATTTCATCAAGGAAGTAACTGAGGGAAAGGTACTTCTACCCCACAAGAAAAAGCCTAAGTCTCCTATTTTTACAGCTTCTATCTCTACTAAAAGAAAGGGATTTTTGCATTTTCCCCAGTTATCATCTTCTTCTAAGCCAAGGCTTAACCTTTCTTTTTCTAGCAAGGCCTGGCCCACCATGCCTTCCCAGAAGCCCTTCTCACAATAAAGTGGCGCCCCTACTCAGAGTGTAGGGAAGTCTGTTAGTGTTTGCACTAGTGTGTATCTGAAATGTCTCAGGCCTCTGGGTCCATTCTGTCATTTTAAAAGGGTACAAAATACAACTTTTTCTATCCCTGTTCCTTCCTCTCTTTTTAAAGTCCAATCTGCCCAGTTTAGAACAAAGAAATTCAGATTTGATGACCATCTTGCACCAACTTCAGACTCAGGAGGAGGTTGTACCATTCCCTTCATGAGAACAGTTTTCGAGTTTCTATTCAAATCTATTCACAGGTTTCTGTTCCAAAGTTCCAGATGGTATCTACGAGGTCTGTAATTTATTCCCTCAGACAAGGTGCATTTCTTGCATTTATACAAGATGCCTATCTCCATATTCCTATTTTCTTATCACACCAACACTTCTTGCATTTTTCAGTGGGAGACCAGAACTTACAGTTTGCAGCACTGTCATTTTGTGCTCTCATCTGCATTACAAATGTTTACAAGAGTACTTGCCATGCTTTTGGCTCTTCTGCAAACCCAGGGCATTCATGTGACAAGTTACCAGGACGACCTCCTGCTGAAGAACTCATCAGGCAGAAACGTGTCTGCCAAAAGTCCAGAGAACTGTCCAGTTCCTTTAAACCTTTGGATGGACAATCAACTTTCAAAAATCTGCTCTCCAGCTCTCTCATCATCTGGAGTTCCTGCACCTGATCTTTAATATAGCCCAAGCCAGAAACTTCCTTCCTAAGGAGAATATAGTCTCCCTAAGGTCCAGTTCTAGACCCTCAGGTCACAATGACATCCCTCAGTTTGCTTCTGAGTGAGGATTTTGGGTCTCATGGGGCCTCCTTCCGGCAGTTCCCTTTGCCCAATTTCACTCCAAACCCCTTTAATTCAACATTCTATAGATGTGGAACAAGCTGATCCAATAATTTGATTGCCCCACTGCTTCTGTCCAGTCAAGAGAAGATCTCCCTGACATGTTGGATCTCCTAGCCTGTGCTGAAATTGGAAAAAAATCATTACTTGACAGGACTTGTAACTTGGTAACAACAAATGTGAGTCTTATGGGCTTGGGCGGAGTTTCAACTGCCTGAGTGTCCAGGGAACACGATCCACAAGGAGGTAAAAGCTATCCATCAACATGGAGAGTCATCAGGTTGCCTTTTTAACAGTGGACTTCCCTTCTACAAGGTCACCCAGTCAGAGTACAGTCAGTGCCACAGTAGTGGCCTCCATAAATCGTTCAGGGGGTACCAGAAGCTTACCAGCCCTAAATGAGATGAGTCTAATACTTTCATTGGCTGAAAACTCCAGCTGTCTTGGCCATCTACATTCCAGGAGTGGACAGTTGACAGACAAATTTCCTAAACCATCAATGCTTAGATATAGGGGAGTGGTCTCTACATCCTGGGATCATTCAAAAGCTCTGTCAAAGGTGTGGAAAACCATATTTGGATATCCTAGCCTCCAAGTTCAACAACACAAAATTTGTGGCCAAACCCAAGGATCCTATACCTTTGTAGTAGATGCTCGTGATTTCTTAGACTTCCATCAGGCAGATATTTCAACAGGTTTATGCCTTCCCTCTGATGCAGATCCTCCCTTGACTGCTTCGCAGCATAGAGGAGGAAAGGGCCTTAGTGATTTTTCTTCGTACCAAATTGGCTCAAAATAACACGGTACACAGACATATGAGGTGGCATGAAAAAGGTTTGAGACTAGTTTTGTAATACGCCAACAAATGGCAGCACAAGGCTGCATGCACAGTCACAGGGACCACCGACCTTCATAAGTCATGTGCCAAAAGACATTGTCCTGTGTACATCAGGAGCTGTGCAACTGGTGCTATTCTGACCGTGTGCATTACCATGTCTGCTATATCATAATGGAGAGCAAGTTAGAACAAAGAGCAAATGTGAATGTCTACGTGAAACTGGGCAAATCGCTGGATCTCCGCAATGTTGTCAAAATGGCGACCTTTGAGCTGGATCTTCAGCTTCAGGAAGAGGGCATTTCATTTTGAGCTCATTGAAGGTCTTCCTGATCTCTTGTAGTCTTCCAGTAATGTTCTTAAAGGATGCATGCCACTCAATACACCTTGAACAACTCATTGCAGCATCACCGTAAATTTCCCGAATCATGTCAAACGTTTCTGTGGCAGATTTGCCCACTTTCACGCAGAATTTCACAAAACTTTTTGAAACCACCTCGTAAGTATGTATCTGTACTGAACTAGCCTAACCACCCCAACTCTCAACAAAGGGGCAAAAAGGATAGCTGCTGAAAGTCCTTTAACTAATACTTAATTTAGCTCCAGCACAGCAGCACATTGTAAACTGTAATTGTGTACTGCATAAAAATGCAGACATGCTGCATTTTTATGCAGCAAACTTGTATGGTGTGAACAGGACACATAGAGAACTATTTTATTTCCTTGCAGTGAGCCTGCATTGATCATTGCAGATCAAACACACATTGTGTAAACAAACAATTGATGTTTGCTGGGTGTAAGGTGAGGTATTTATTTTAAAGTGTTTTGAATCCCGGACATTTTTTACCTTAATGCATTCCCTGCATTAAGGTAAAAAATGTCCCAGTGTTTGTATTACCCCCTCGCCCCCTTAATTACTGCACACAGCAGACAAGTATAGCATGTTTGTTATTATAGTAAGAAAAAAGGTCTACATTTAGAAACAAGAAGAAAAGAAGCGCCTCTAAGTGCAGTATAAACCACTATTTAATAGGAGTCAAATGTATAACAACTCACATTTCTTTGTGAAAAACAGGCTCATAGGGTGCAGTCTCATAGAGGCAGAGTGTCCTGACTATGACGGCCATGTCAATTGTGGTAACAGGAGAAGAAAAGCCAGCTGGCATGTGGGGTCTCCTAAAGATGGCGTCTGGAACGCACGTGGAGGCGCAACGTTGGCGTGATGACATCAAGGACCAGCCTGCATAGCAACGTGTTTCAGAGCATGCGCTAACCTCTGAGGGCGGAAGCATGCTCCTTTGTCAAGCTAAAGGGGCAAAGGCTGATCAGAAGAGCGCCGCATCTGCACCAAAAGAACATTTCGGAGACTAGCCCTAGACAACTGTACCTGGCCGGCCATCTTCGCAACGAACCTGACCTTGTACTCTGCAGAAGTCTTGACGTTATCGCGCTGACGCCGATGTTGCGCCTCATCGTGCATTTGCAGACGCCATCTTTAGGAGACTCCACATGCCGGCCGCCTTTTCTTCTCCTGTTACCTCAATTCCAGAGTGCAGACGTGGCTGTCATAGCCAGGACACAGCCGTTCCTCTACCTCCTATGAGACTGCACCCTATAAGCCTGCTTTTTCACAAAGATATGTGAGTTGTTCTATATTTGACTCCAATTAAATAGTGGTTTATACTGCACTTAGAGGCGCTTCTTTTCTTTTCTTCTTCATTCATACAGAGTTCTGCTACTACTACTATGGGAAGCTTGCCCTAGTGCCCTATGGACCTTTTTTGCAGCCCTATTTACTGGACTTTATGGACAATTCTTCAACTAATTTGAATGGTGGCAGTTTTTACGCTGATTGGTCTTCTTTTTTCTTGCTTGTCTTACCTTTTTAGAAACACTCTATTCCATTCTTGTACTTTCTTGTTGCAGGTGACATTGTGGGTGTTTATGAATCCAGCAGTCCGAGTGAGCCTCTTGCTACCGGTATTGTGTCTGGTGTCACACAAAAAGTTATCAGTGTCGCCTTTGATGAAAGTCATAGCGATGCTTTAAATCTGAGTGGTGATAATACATATAGGCTTCTGAAGCTGGCAAACGATGTTACTTATAAAAGGATAAAAAAGTAAGTGCCTTTAATGTTTATTTCATACCCTACACATTTACCATATGTACATTGAACCCTACAGACAAAGACTGGGATGCCAATAAAGTTCATGTGTGTGTAAAGGCATTTGTCCCAATACTTTTGGCAATATAGCTTGTGTGTACACATCTTATTTAGCGGACTTTTTTCATGGTTACAGTATATGCAACTAATACATTTTGATTACTATGAACCATTTTTTTCTTTTTGTTTGTTGTCCAATATATTGCATATAGACTAATCTAAAAGTAAATGAGCTGTTTGGTAATTGTGCTAACATTACATTCTTGTAATTATTGTTTATTCATTTATCTACAGGGCCTTGATTACACTGAATCAGTACCACACTGGACCTGCAACTCACATGATTGATGTCCTTTTTGGATCATCTGAACCAAGCAGTGCTGGGTTGGCAAGTGAGACCACCATAAAGATGCATTTGTTCTTATCTGCACATGAGATGCAAAAGGGCAAAAACACTGAGACACTTACTTTTTCTGGATAAAATACTGCTCCATTCTCCCTCCAGTATTGTTCACATGACCAAAAGGAAAGGCATCTCTGCTGTAGGGGAGCATTGCTCAGTCTGACTTCTGATCCTCCCCTTCAACAGAAATCATGTGGCCATACCCCCAGACTTAGTGTCATTTCTCTATAATTATGTGCAACAACACAACGCTGCCCGATCAAATATATGTAAAAACCAAATTTATCAAATCCAAAAAATATATTGTGTATGAATGAACCGATGTTATTTGTGAAAGGCTGCTATTTTAAATGAACAGTGCACTTCAAAATTATATTATGAATAAAACTGCGCTATTTACTCCATTTGGAATAGCACCGTCAGTGTTAAAAGATATGTTTAGCTTTTAGAGCAGCATATACTCAGGCAAGGTTGGGACAACATTCACCTCCGTCAACTCCAACAAGTCTCCTCAGTTCCCAGATATTTACAGAAGGGGATACTACACCGTGGTAAACACGGCACTGTCCCAACTTTTTTCTTTTTTTTTTACTTAGCTTTTTTGTTGCCCTTTCCCAAATTTTGGAGATGTGTTGCTGCCACCAATTTCAGAATTAACTTTTTTTTTTTCTTAAAATGCTAAAAAAAAAATTCTCAATTTAAACATTGGAAATGTTTTCTACTGTGAATAAAATATGGGTTTATAAGCTTTGAAAATAATTACATTCTGTTTTTATGTAGATTTTACACAATGTCCCAACTTTTTTGAAATTGAGGTTGTAAAGAGGGGAACTAAATTATGTAATATTTGTTTTTATTTGGCTTGGCAAAAGAATAAAATCATATTTGCACTTTAAAAGTGCATCACAGCACTATTGGTACAAGCAGACGTGCAATATAAATGCTATCCCACAATCTTCCTGGCAATGTTAAACTCTAAGATGGAACCTACTGCAGTAAGAAATGCCCAGCAGACATCAGAGATCCAACACAGCAAACCGAAAATAAAGTATCACTGTAGGTCAATCCCTACATGTTTCGTCTATTGACAAATATCTGTTCTCCCTGCAGAGCAGCTTGCTCCCTGTCTGCATCCAACAGAGTAATAAATGGTGCCTATGTAGTCTGTCTTTATAGTTGAACATTCTATCTATGTGTGAGGCATGACATAGTTTTTCCTTATATTACGCACTTTGGTCGAGGCTACAGGAGTAATCTGCATGAATTGACAAATTAAAACTATGTAGTGAAGTGTAGTCTGTCAGTACAGGTGTGCTAAAAAGTAATTCTCTAATGATAAAAAAAAACAAACTTGTGGCTGGTATAAAATCCAGGCACCCGAAGGTTTTCAGTACCCTTTGTTAATGCTTTGACATTTCGTGGTAGTGTCACAGCCCCATAAAATTTTTTTTTTAATTTTTTAAGCCCATCACATTGATGAGCTTCCTCACTGGTCAATGGAAATGTTTAGGAGATGGGATAAGGCAGGAAAGCTTTGGACAGAATGCAGGACCAGGAGCTGTTGTAGGCATGTGCAGTGCATGCACTTTATATGTGTGGTTTTTTTGTTTTTGTTTTTTTAGCTAAAGTAACAGAGTACTTTTAAAAAACAAGAAAGCTCTCAAATGTAAATAGGTACTTTAAGGGGAACTCCACATTTGTGGGGGGGGAGCAAATAATAAAAAAATGATATTGCATATACAATTTCTACACAAATCATACTGTAAATTTTTAAAAAACTACCCTTAATTTCCAATCTGCAGCGCTGTTTTCTGTAAAATGCAATGCAATATGGCAACCTGGAAGAGTTTGTACATATATCGTGTACTGAAGGCCCCCCCCCAAATATAATTTCGTGCTTTTGTAAATGGCTCACTTATTTTCCCAGAAGTCCTAAGATACAAGTCAGATTTTGGGCATCCCCTGCAACAAAAATTTAATTTTTGATGAGATACTCCCAAAGGTAAATCACATCTAAAGGGATGCAGTCCCTGCCACTCTCCTCAGAACTCTGCAAGTGCAGCATCTGATTGATTATAAAGACGATCCCATTAGATTCACTTTCTACACAGACAAACAAACCGCTATTTCCTCAATAACAAAACATAGGAATCTGCAAAAGAGTTTGTTAAAATCCTTGCAATGATCACCCAGAGGGGAATGTTTTTTTTTTTTTTTCTCAATGAGAGTGGAGTTACTCTTTAAGAAGAATTGGATATCTAGCATTATTTATCTTTTATGTTGCCTTCTCTACAGCTAAATCCTTAGTTTATAGTGTGTGTCAGCAAAAGTTCATTTTAAATCCGTTTTTGTTTTAGGTTTACTTGGCATTTTCAGTTCATTTTTCTCTTGTGCCTCTAGGGCCAGTGGAATTTCTCAATCCGTCTTTGGATGATTCACAGAAGGATGCTGTTGTTTTTTCCTTAAACCAGAGAGAAGTTGCAATTATTCACGGCCCCCCCTGGCACCGGTAAGACAACAGCGGTGGTGGAAATTATCCTACAAGCTGTGAAGCAAGGACTAAAGGTGAGAAGAGGGTCGTGCTTGTCAGAACTCTCTGTTCTTCCCACTAAACAGTTCAGTGTTATATTACAATGCAGAATTCAATCACTTTTATTAGGACATCTGCTGCTGAGCCTAACACTGCTTACCACAGAATTGTTTATTGGGCCTGGACTAGCAGGCAGTGACATGTCTAAAGTGAATTAAAAAATGTGATTATAAAGCAAGTGTTGCTTTCTTGCCAGTAAACCAATTTGTGGAAGGAAAAATACTGAAGTACATTGGGGGAAAAACTGTCAATAGGTGATTGTCCTATATTTACTGCATTCACATTGAAGTTCTAAAGAAACTGCCAGGAAATGTATATAAATGGCTACATTTGTAGCCAATGACCTCATGGTACATAGAAGTTTTTTTGTGTATATTTTCAGATTCTGTATACTCTCTGAACTTTGTGCTTTTTAATGTGTGTTAATAAACATTTTCCTCTATGTACAAAACAAAGTGCTGGCACTTCATTTGCATATTTGTAATGGCTGTCAAACATGTGCTGCCACACTACTCACTTAAACCTAAAATTCTTTGTCTATAGATTCTCATGCAGCCTTGGGTGCAGTACAGAGCACACCTTGGTATACATTTTCTCACTTTTAGTTAAGGTGAGTGGGGTTTGAAGGTTTGTCCAATATTTTTTTTGCAGTTTGCAGCCATATTAGAGCACTTTTCTCTTATTTGTTGTTCTGACTAACATGTCATGAGTGCAGAAAGTGAGAAGTAATCTTCAGAGACACAGACAGCTATAAAAAGTTTCAAAGACACAAACCCCCTGAGAACAGGGGAAAATCAGCGGAAAAAGATCCCCAACTCCTATTGTTAGGGATCCGGGTGCGACCAGAAATGTGTGGACTGACACAGGGAAGTAGCAGGCTTCAGGAACACAGGCGTAGTCAGGGCTGGAGAGGTGGAATGGTCAGGCAGGCCGTTGGGTACTGTCAGGCACCGCCCGGCGGGATCTCTAGTACCCACAGAACGGGATTCCCCAGGGCGCGGAGTCTAAGCCCCAGTCTGCCTTTTCACCAGAGCCCCTGATGGTGGGGATGGACTTGGCGCAGGACTGAGACCAGGTCGCGGCCCCTGAGTGCACCCAACTGTGCTAGAGGGGTCCGCCGAGGGTATGTACCGTGGGAAAGCCTGACGTGAAGAGGTTGGCAGACCTGGTAACAGGGACAGATCCGTGCGGGATGGATGGATCGTCTGGGTAGCGTCAGGTGTAGTCAGGCAGGCCAGGTCAGCAATGTGCGGGCAGTGAGGTACTGGAGGAGCAGGCAGAGAATAGTCAGGGTCACAAGCCGGGTTCAGTAACTCACGGGCAGCGCGGTACAGAGGATCAGGCAGAAGGATGGTCAGGCAAGCCGGGGGTTCAACAGGAGACGGTCAGCAGAGGTCAGGATCAAAGCAGGGTTAGCAACTAGGCAGATAAGCAGGAACACATGATACCAGGTACAGGGGCTCATGGGAAACATACACCAAGGCACTGACTGCAGGTCTGGCCATTCCTTAAATACACTTCCTGCAATCAGCCCCAGGTGTTGGCTGATTGCAGGAGTGAGCTTCTGGCTGCTGAGAGCACCCGCTGGTCAGCCCTGGTACTGCAGCCCACACGGCAGGTGAGTCCCACCCCCATTGCTGAGTCCATTCCTGACACCTATAGACAAAAGGGGCACAAAATGAATACATAAAGTCCAATGTCATCATAAAGTTCATATAGCACTAGGGCTAGCTTCTTATAGCTGTAGCAGACTCTGTGTGAAAGTAAGAAGGAGAGCAGGGCCTCTAAGTGCAGTATTTTACAATGTTTATTAGGAAACAATGTAAAGCCACTCACATTGTGTAAAATAAAGAAGGCTCAGGTAGATAAATTGTGTAGCCGTGTCCTTGTTGCAATGGCCGCGTCCACACCAAAGGAGACTGTAGATGTGACAGGTTTTCCGGCCAGCACGTGAAATCTCTAAAGATGGCATCTGGAACGCACCTTGGAGCACAACGTCGGCGTCAGCATGATGACGTGTGGGGACCGGCATGCAAAGTGACGTGTTTTGGAGTATGTGCTAAACCGCTAAGGGCGGAAGCACGCTCCCTTATCATGCGCGCTTCCGCCCTTAGTGGTTTAGCACATGTTTTGAAACACGTCGCTTTGCATGCTGGTCCCCGACATGTCATCACGCTGACGCCGATGTTGCGCTCCAAGGTGCGTTCCAGACGCCATCTTAGAGATTTTACTTGCTGGTCGGCAACCCTTTCACATCTACAGTCTCCTTTGGTGCGGGTGCGGCCATTGCAGCAAGGACACGGCTGCACAATTTATCTACCTGAGCCTTCTTTATTTTACACAATGTAAGTGGCTTTACATTGTTTCCTAATAAACATTGTCAAATGCTGAACTTAGATGCGCTTCTCTCCTTAGCTATAAAAAGTTGATGGAGGTCCTGGCATTCCACCATACTACTAAAAATGTTTTTATTGCAGATGTGTCCCTTGTTCTCTAAAGCTAGCCATACAGAAGTAGAATGTAGTTTTATCTTAAACAGTTCGGCGCTACTATATCTGTAAATCAAACCTCCTCTCAATCCTATGTAGAACTAATAATGAGACAATCAGTGACTAAAAAAGTATATACTCTTTATCCTTTATATGGGCTCCATTTTGTTGTAGTGCAAGTTAGTTCCATCCTTAAATAAGTCCTGTCCCGGCAATAGATACCAATAAAATCCCAACAAAGATTATTCCCAAAAAGGTTCTGTTATTTATTTATTTTTTCAAATATTTTTTGTCTTGTTTCTGTAGTTTTTTTTATTATTATTATCTTCATCCATTTTTACTCATAATAGGGTCTTTATTAAAATAATTTAATAGGTTTGTTTATATTATAGGAACTTCGGATATATATCTTAACCTCTTCCATACCGGGCACTTTTACCCCCTTCCTGCCCAGACCATTTTTCAGGTTTCAGCGCTCTCACACTTTGAATGACAATTGCACGGTCATACAACATTGTACCCAAACTAAAATGTTGTCATTTTCTTCACACAACTAGAGCTTTCTTTTGGTGGTATTTAATCACCACTGGGATTTTTATTTTTTGCTAAATTAACAAAAAATGGCCGAACATTTTGAAAAACAATAACGCATTTTTCTTTGTTTCTGTTATAAAAGTTTGCAAATAAATAATTGTTCTTCATAAATTTAGGCCAAGATGTATTCTGCTACATTTCTTTGGTGAAAATAACCAAAATTAGGATGTATTTTTTAGTTTGTAGGAAAGTTATAGAGTTCACAATCTATGGGATATATCTGAATATTGATCAATCCTGAAGTACTGACAGGCAATCTAATTTTTTGAGGTCCAAGAATGTCAGAACAGTACAGATATCCCCCAAATGACCCCTTTTTGCAAAGTAGACAGTCCGACGTAATTCATAAGAGGTATGGCGAGTTTTTTTCAAGTTGTATTTTTTTTGTCATAATTTTTTGGAAAATGAAAAAATTATAAAATTATTTTCACTATTTTTTTTTTTTACATACTGTCACCAGTGCAGTACAGCATCATCATATAACTGGCATGGCGGTGATCAGGGACACTGACTGGTGACAGTATAAAAAAAAAAAAATTATGTATATTTTTTTTTCAATTTTTTTTATTATTTTTAATTTTTTATTACTTTTTTTTCTTTTTCTTTTCCATAGTAACATTGTACTACTTTGGGGAAGTAATCAGTATTTTTTTTTTTTTTTACACAATTTGCTTATAGCAAAGAATTACGTTGCTATAAGCAAGCATTTACCTGAATGACATCGATTCATTCAGGTTTTTTTTTTTTTTTTGTGCTTAGCTGTAATTTGGCTACGGCTAATCACGACACATCTAGGCTGTGATTGGCGCAGCTTGTGCATGTGATCGCTGTAATCATTCACAGCTAGACACACTAGTATACAATGGATGGCATGAATGAAGCCATCCATTGTATACAACTATCATGTGACCTGCTGTGATTGGTCACGGCAGGTCACATGGTACCGGCAACGGGCCGGTACTCAGATCTGTCATCGGCCGTGTCCGAGGTACACGGCCGGTGACAGATCGCACCGCTGCGCGGCTCTGCAGGCGCGCAAACTGCGCATGCTCGAAAGGACGCCATATGGCGTCCACCCGGAAAGGTGAGGGTTTTTGCCGGCCGCCATTCGGCCATAGGCTGGGAGGGAAATTGTTAAATTATGTACTGTATGTATGATATATAGTAAAGATGTAGGGATGTTACGCAATATTGACTTTTTATGGCAATAAGAAGGCAGTATTTTATGTGCAGATGGAATACAATTTACATGTGGATAGTATAGGGTTGAAGTATTTTGTTACCAGTATATGCATATATTTATGGGGAAGGATTATTTAAGGACGGAACAAATTTGTACTACAACAAAATGGCACCCGTATAAATGATATATACTACAAAAACATGGCATCTAGCAAACACTATATAAAGCACAATTGGCGGCCAGTCCAATCAACCCCCCTGGAGAAAGTCATGTGCCCTGTGACAAAACACGTTTGGGGTGGGGGGACTTGGATAATGCCACAGTGCTTGATCCCGATACAGCAAGTGAGGATTTTCACATAAAGCTATTGCACAATGTTGCTATATTTATAAATAAGGCTGGATATATTTGGTGCGATCTAGCACCCACATAATGTGAGTGGTACAGGTGAAACTCGAAAAAATTAGAATATCGTGCAAAAGTTCATTTATTTCAGTAATGCAACTTAAAAGGGGAAACTAATATATGAGATAGACTCATTACATGCAAAGTGAGATAGTTCAAGCCGTGATTTGTCATAATTGTGATGATTATGGCTTACAGCTCACGAAAACCCCAAATCCACAATCTCAGAAAATTAGAATATTACATGCAATCAATAAAACAAGGATTGTACATAGAACAATATCGGACCTCTGAAAAGTATAAGCATGCATATGTACTCCGTACTTGGTTTGGGCCCCTTTTGCAGCAATTACTGCATTGTTCGGTCTCATGTCTCTCATCTTTCTCTTGGAAATGCCCCATAGATTCTCTATGGGGTCAGGTCAGGCGAGTTTGCTGGCCAATCAAGCACAGTAATCCCACGGTCATTGAACCAGGTTTTGGTGCTTTTGGCAGTGTTGGCAGCTGCCAGGTGAAGTCAGCATCCCCATAAAGCTTGTCTGCAGAAGGAAGCATGAAGTGCTCCAAAATCTCCTGGTAGATGCCTGTGCTGACCCTGGACTTAATGAAGCACAGAGGACCAACACCAACAGATGACATGGCTCCCCAAATCAACACAGACTGTGGAAACTTCACACTGGACTTCAAGCATCTTGCAGTGTGTGCCTCTCCATTCTTCCTCCATACTCTGGGTCCTTGGTTTCCAAATGAGATGCAAAAGTTGCTCTCATCAGAAAAGAGGACTTTGGACCACTAAGCAACAGACCAGGTCTGTTTTTCTTTAGCCCAGGTAAGATGCTTCTGATGTTGTTGGTGTTCAGGAGCGGCTTGACAAGAGGAATACGACATTTGAAGCCCATGTCCAGGATCCGTCTGTGTGTGGTGGCTCTTGATGCACTGACTCCAGCCTCAGTCCACTCCTTGTGAAAGTCCCCAACACGTTTGAATGGCCTTTTCCTGACAATCCTCTCCAGGCTGCAGTCATTCCTGCTGCTTGTGCACCTTGTTCTTCCACACTTTTCCCTTCCACATAACTTTTTATTATGTGCTTTTATACAGCACTTTGGGAACATCCAACTTCTTTTGCAATTACCTTTTGAGGCTTTCCCTCCTTATGGAGGGTGTCAATGATGGTTTTCTGCACAACTGTCAGGTCAGCAGTCTTTCCCATGATTGTGATTCCTACTGAACCAGACTGAGAGACCATTTAAAGGCTCAGGAACCCTTTGCAGGTGTTATGGCTTAATTAGCTCATTAGAGTGGGACACTTTGAGCCGAGAATATTGCACCTTTTCACAATATTCTAATTTTCTGAGATTGTGGATTTGGGATTTTCATGAGCTGTAAGCCATAATCATCACAATTATGACAAATCACAGCTTGAACTATCTTGCTTTGCATGTAATGAGTCTATCTCATATATTAGTTTCACCTTTTAAGTTGCATTACTGAAATAAATGAACTTTTGCAAGATATTCTAATTTTTCAAGTTTCACCTGTATTTTATGAGGTTTTGGAAGGTAATACATTTTTTGGGGATAAAGCACTATCTTTAGCATTATTATTTGCATGATGTGGATAGGAGTTAAAAGGAGAAGGAGAGCATCAGGCTGAGGAGAACCATCATAAAGTACACAGAGGCGTGTTGACCAAAGTCCATTTAAAGGGACACATGTGTTCTATTGACCTTTAGTGGAAGGTCAGCATGCTAAAGTGAGATTACACCTGGTGGCAGCATTACACAGTTTGGTTGAAGGAGCACGGAGGTGGAAATGGCATTTGGCACATCAACACCTTTTGAAGAACTGTTCTGATTTTCTATGATATATGTGCACTTAAATATGGACGGGGACACACACACACACACACACACACACACACACACACACACACACACACACACACACACACACACACACACTTTTTTTTTATCACTGATTGTATCATTATGAGGAGGTTTGATTTACAGTACTTCATTTTTTTTTTATATAATTTTATTTTTTACGGAATACAGGTATGGATGAAACCTATCAGGAAAGACTTCAGGAACTTAATATGTACAGTCTGCGCGGGAAAGAAGGGAAAGAGGAGGCATGATTGAAACCTTTAAATATATCAAGGGGGTGAATAAGGTTCAGGAGGGCAGTATTTTCAATATGAAACTAAAATCAAGAACACGAGGATATGACCTCAAACTAACTAGAGAAAAGTTCAAAACTAATCTTAGAGAGTATTGTTTTACTAAAAGGGTAGTTGGTGCTTGGAATAAACGTCTAGCAGATTGGTGAGCCAGTCAACGATAAGTGGCTTCAGACATGCTTGGGACAAACATAAATCTGTACACAGAGAAAAAAGTTAACAAAAAAAGAAAAACAAAAACAAAAAAACGGGCAGACTTGATGGACTACTTGGTCTTTTTCTGCCTCTATTTCTATGTTAATGTTGATTCTTGATCAAGCTGTCCTGCTGCTAGACTTGAGATGGATAGCCTAGCTCTGCCGTCTACTAGGGTGCCTTGGTTAAGAGAACACAATTACAAACCCTTTAGCAGGCAAAACAATTTCCATATACCGTATATACTCGAGTATAAGCCGAGTTTTTCAGCACATTTTTTTGTGCTGAAAAACGGCCCCCTCGGCTTATACTCGAGTCAACGTCAAGGGGGGCGCGTACAGGGGTGGGCAGAGGGCTGCTGTCTCTTACCTGGCTCCCACGATGATCCATCCAGGAAGCGCTGCTCCTTCCGTCACTCCGGCCGCTCCTTCCGTCACTCCGGCCACTCCCTCACTCCTGCCGCTCAGCTCCGCCTCCTCACCGGTGATTGGCCGCCAGAACTGTAGCTCAGGAAAGGTACACAGGCGGCCAATCACGGGCGAGGAGGCGGAGCCGAGCGGACCCGCGAAAATCGAGTGAGGGAAAAGCCGGTAAGTGTGCAGTGCAGAGGTGCTGCTGCAACCACATATGCTGGCTGCAGCAGCACCATACTGCAACAGGGGTCAGCAAGTGTCATTGGTGTCAGTGGGAGGAATAGTGCCGCATCATTGGTGTCACTGATACTAATGATGGGGCATTATTCCTCCCACTGACACCAACGATGGGGCACTATTCCTCCCACTGACACCAATGATGGGGCACTATTCCTCCCACTGATACTAATGATGGGGCACTATTCCTCCCACTGACACCAATGATGGGGCACTATTCCTCCCACTGACACCAATGATGGGGCACTATTCCTCCCACTGACACCAATGATGGGGCACTATTCCTCCCACTGACACCATTGATGGGGCACTATTCCTCCCACTGACACCAATGATGGGGCACTATTCCTCCCACTGACACCAATGATGGGGCACTATTCCTCCCACTGACACCAATGATGGGGCACTATTCCTCCCACTGACACCAATGATGGGGCACTATTCCTCCCACTGATACTAATGATGGGGCTTATACTCGAGTCAATCGTTTTTTTCCCAGTTTTTTGTGGTAAAATTAGGTACCTCGGCTTATATTCGGGTCGGCTTATACTCGAGTATATACGGTATGTATGTCAACAGTTTATTTAGTGGCATGTCTGGAGTTGAGATTTAAATATTGGTATTAACCATTTGCCCTCCTGAGGATTTACCCCCCTTCCTGACCAGGCTATTTTTTGCATTACGGCGCTGCGTTACTTTAACTGATAATTGCGCGATCATGCAATGCTGCACCCAAATGAAATTTCTGTCTTTTTTTTCCCCTTGAATTGAGCTTACTTTCGGTGGTATTTGATCGCCTGTGCGTTTTTTTTATTTATTGCACTATAAAAAAAAAAGACTGACGATTTTAAAAAAAGTATGTATTTTTGACTTTTTGCTATTAAACATGTCCAGTAAAAAAATTTTAAAAATCAAATTTCGTCATAATTTTAGGCCAAAATGTATTCTGCTACATGTCTTTGCTAATAAAATTTTTTTTACTACTAATGACGGCGATCAGCGACTTATAGCGGGACTGCGGCGAGCATTCTGACACTGTGGGAAACTGACTTGGTGTCACTGACATCCTCAGTGACACCAAATACACTGATCAGTGCTAAAAAAAAAGCACTGACACTGTACTAATGGCACTGGGCAGGAAGGTGTTAACATAAGGGGTGATCAAAGGGTTAACTGTGTGCTGGTGTGTGTTTTACTAGGGGGCCATGTGTTTGTGCTTTACATGGCTGTGCTGTGCACAGCCATCCAAAGCGGTGTGCACAAGCTGACAGAGAGGAGAACTGTTTTGTTTACAAAGAGTTCTCCCCATCGGAGATGCTCGGCAATCACCAGGCGCCGGCGGGTAATCACCAGCTGGGACCCAGTGATTGACAGACGCGGGCACGAATGGCGGCGTGGGTAGGGCTCGCACCCCTTACCCAGAAATGCAGAATCACGTATATATACATGATTGTGCGCACCTGTGCCGCCCTGTAGCCATATCTATCTGCTATAGGGCGGTTGGGAAGCTGTTAATATGATTATCAATATTTAGCTCTTGTCTCCATGAGATGTCTACTATTAGCAGCCTCACACTACCATTAGTCAGATCTTTTTGCCAGTATAAACTAAGATGTCCCATACTTGTTTCTCAAGGTCCTTTGCTGTGCACCTTCCAATGTAGCTGTGGACAATCTAGTGGAGCGCTTGGCTGCTTATAAAGAGCGAATATTACGTTTGGGGCACCCTGCACGTCTGTTGGAATCCTTACAGCATCACTCTCTGGACGCTGTGTTGGCACATAGTGATAATGCGCAGATTGTTGCTGACATCCGCAAAGATATTGACCTGATGTTTGTAAGTATTTGTTTTCAAAGCATTCTTTTTTTCATATATATGTTTATTTTTTTTGTTTTTTTAGTACCACAGCAGGGTGATTTTGCTTTACTAATCTTCATATTGCAGTACAATTGGGTTGTACGCCACAATGAATAATTAAAGACATTGCAGCTGTTAGGTGAATTGTGATTGGTTTTGTTTTATCAATCATTGGAAGAAACAGCATTACCTTTTGATGTTAGATCTGATATGTAGAAGGTTCAAAACAAGGAAATATTATTCCCTTCGAGGACTGTATCGCTGTACTAGGGCATCACCTTTTCAGTCATAGCTCCTTATCAACCTGACAAGTATTGTATAGACAATTCAGGTTTAATTCTTTGGTTAATTTTAACCTTTCCCTGTTTAAGGTTTGAAACAGTTCTTAGCTGTTCATACTAGTGGCAGTATCCTGGCTCCCATATCCAGTTACTCTGGAGCTTTATACACACAAATACTGCATAGTCATTCAGTAAGTTTACTTATTCCACTATCCAGTACACAAGTAAGGCAGGCCACAGGGGGGGCGATTTTCTTTCCTGCAACCAACGTGTTAATGGGGAAATCCCTCCTATAGAGCCATTGTGATCTCCCAGGGGGTGAGGCGAGAGCTATCCCCACCAGGAGAAACACAGTAATTACTGCTAGCAGCTATTATAGCTGCTAGCAATAATCGCATGTAAAATCTGACAGGCTGGTTGTACCCAAGCTGATCAATCAACTTGCTTACATTCAGCCAGCTCATACACAGTTTGAATCTCAGCTGGTCCCTGCTGAACAGGCCGGGATTCGAACCCTCTATGGCCAGCTTAACTAAGAGAGAATCTACAATAATGAAGATATCATGCTATCATCTGGATGATAATAAGGAAAAAAAAACGTAAAGATGGGAATGTTACAGCAACAAGTATATTCAATAATAAGCAATTCTCTGTGCTCACTGAAAATACACAATTTTGTGTCATTTTTAAAGCTACATGTGCAATTTGCATTTGCTTGATTTAAAAAAAAACACATAGCTTGAGCGTCAGGCAAATGCTGGATGCAGAGTATTCAATGCCAGCACTTTGGCCGCACTCTGCTCCAGATCCAGGTGTTCTCAAGGAGAGACCTTGTAAGCCAGTGCCAAGCCACAACCCACACATGGTATTTGGGAAATTAGGCCAAGTTCAACAAGCACATAAGAACGGTTCTGTGCATGCTGTGGACTCAGCAGCTGTTGGGTGCTTGACAGAGGTCAAAAAGGCCATATATGTCCCCTTGTGACATTTCTATAGACCCAGACTAAGTCTGGTTCTAGAAAGGCTTTTAGAACATTGAATAGAGAGGTATCTTTCTGTTTTTACTGGCAATGCTGCATGAATGGAACTTTCCTCATAACTTTTTTTCTCTGACTTAACTGATTAATGAATGCTGCTCACATGAATGTGAGCTGCTCCAGTTACATTCTCTTTTCATCTTAAAAAAACAAAAAAAAAAAAAAAACACAGCCTGTGCCAGCTCACAAAAAAAGTTCCAAAATGTTGTGTACAGAAACAAACACTTTGGCCTGGTTCACACTATTGCAGGTAGTTGCGGGTGTGAGAATCATGGCGATTCCCACAGTCAAAACACAAGGGGCCTCCATTCATTCTTAATGGCATCCCCACGCATCTAAAAATCCTGTGTGCTGTGGGGGCAGGAACCACAGGGAAATCTCATGGTGCAAAAGCACCATGCGATTTCCTGGCCGCATGTTTAAAATGCTGCAGGAACCTCTTTTTCCTGCGCAAGCACAGCAGCCTATCAAATTACTGAGCTGCTGTGCCCGTGCAAACCCGTAATAATGTGAACCAGGCCTTCCACAGTAGAGGCTTTCTTTTGGTTGCCTAAGAACCCCCTTTTATAGTCTGATCTACACCCATTTATAACAAATGACTCAGCCAATGGCTGTCATTTATAAAGACTGGACCATGCATGGGCAGCAATTAGGCCTTTTTTTTAACCCGTATATAAAAGTTTTATATAAAAATAGATATAGATAGTGTGGGGAAGGTTTGGCAACCTAGTGGTTCATTTTTTTTTTTGTTTTGCTGTCTGTGTCCCCCCCTGCATGATTCAACCCCTCTGTTTTTTCCTACTAAACACTGTCACAGACAGAAAATGAGGGGAAATCCACATTTGTCACCAGAACAGGAATAGAGGGGAAATGATCTAGTTGGTACACTTGTGGTGTTGACAACTGTCTAAGGGCCTCTTCACACTGGTGGACTCCGCCAAGCAGGTCCACCTGGTCAGCAGGGGATCTGTCAGCTGACGCAGAGTGGACACAGACACAGCCCACTGTTCTCTATGGGGCAGTCAGATGTAAACAGACCACCTGTCTGTTTACATCCGACTATCATCCAATCCAGTCCGCTAGATGGATGGGGAACAGATTCCCCATCCGTCTGCTTTAAGCGGATCAGATGCAGGTGGGTGTAAACGGACACACTTCCGTTTACATCTGCCTCCCCTTACGAACAGGTAGACCCGATCAGTCTTCCAGTGTGAAAGGGGCCTAAAAGAGAATTTCCTTAACTTTGGGGAGATTTCTTCTCTTTTCTTGTTGTGTCAATGTGTCAGCGGGACAGGAAGTGAAGGGAATTCCCTAATGTGACACAGACAGCAGAACAAATTTGAGAGGGGTTCTAACCCTACCTTACTTAACTAAAAACAGAATTTCTTTATTAATACTTTAACTCCAATAGAATTCTCAGGTTTGATGTATAGGTGTTCATTTTGTATTATACTTATATTCATGTTCACATAATTGTTAAATTTTGTAGGCAAAAATGAGAAAACTGCCACGCAAGGAAGAAAAGGGCAGCTTCAGAACAGAAATCAAAGCTCTTAGGAAAGAACTGAAAGACCGCGAGGAGGCAGCAATGATTGAAACGTTGAAAGCTGCTAATGTTATCCTCAGCACAATGACAGGTTAGTCAGGGCTGGAGCCTCTTCCAGCACACAATACTGTAATGATGTATGAGGTTGTTTCCATCACTTTTACTTACTACAGCTACTATTGATTCCTTGCTAAAATAGACTTCTTGCCCTATGATTCATATACCATTTGTGAAAGATATTTCCTAAATATTATAAATAGAATGGCAGAAGAATGACTCTTCTGTCTCCTAACAGAGGTGTCCGATATATCAAGGCTACAGAAGCCTGCTTTTTATTTAGTGACTGTGAAGGTGATATACTTAAATATTGTATGTATGTCTTTTAAAGTCAATATACAACCTGTGCTATGTTACTTTAAGGTGGAAGCTTCATTTGCCCATTTTCCTTGCAAGTATTTCAAAGCAGAAAACTCTATTTAAAGGGTTCAGTGAATATAAAAAGTCTACACACCCCTGTTAAAATGTCAGGTTTCTGAGACAAAGATAAATCATTTCAGAATTTTGTCCACCTTTAATGTGACCTAGAAACTGTACAACGCAATTGAAAAACAAACTGAAATCTTTTAGGAGGGGGAAGTAAACATAAAAAGCTAAAATAATGTGGTTGCATAAGTGTGCACACCCTCTTAAAACTGGGGATGTAGCTGTGTTCAGAATTAAGAAATCACATTCAAAATCATGTTAAATAGGAATCAGTACACACCTGCCATCATTTAAAGTGCCTCTGACTATCCCCAAATAAAGTTCAGCTATTCTAGTAGGTCTTTCCTGACATTTTCTTAGTCGCACCCTACAGCAAAAGTCATGGTCTGCAGAGAGCTTCCGAAGCATCATAGGGATCTCATTGTTAAAAGGTATCAGTCAGGAGAAGGGTACAAAATAATTTCCAAGGCATTAGATATACCATAGAACACAATGAAGACCGTCAAAATCAAGTGGAGAAAATATGGCGCAACAGTTACATTACCAGGAACTGGACATCACTCCAAATTGATCAAAAGATGAAAAGAAAACTGGTTTGGGAGGCTGCCAAGAGGTACAGCAACATTAAAGGAGCTGCAGGAATATCTGGCTGTGTGGTACATGTGACGACAATCTCCCGTATTCTTCATATGTCTGGGCTATGGGGTAGAGTGGCAAGACGGAAGCCTTTTCTTAGGAAGAAAAACATCCAAGCCTGGCTAAATTTTGCAAAAACACATCTAAAGTCTCCAAAAGCATGTGGGAAAATGTGTTATGGTCTGATGAAACCAAGGTTGAACTTTTTGGCCATAATTCCAAAATATATGTTTCGTGCAAAAACAACACTGCACATCACCAAAAGAACACCATACCCACAGTGAAGCATGGTGGTGGTAGCATTATGCTTTGAGGCTGTTTTTTCCAAATACCAGTCAATATTAACGCAAAACCTTCAAGCTTCTGCCAGAAAACCGAGCATGAAGAGGAACTTCATCTTTCAGTATGACAGTGACCCAAAGCATACATCCAAATCAACAAAGGAATGGCTTCACCCAAAAAGATTAAAGTTTTGGAAATGCCGAGCCAGAGCCCAGACCTGAATCTGATCGGAAATCTGTGGGGTGATCTGAAGAGGTCTGTGCACAGGAAATGCTCTCACAATCTGACCGATTTGGAGTGTTTTTGCAAGGAAGAGTGGGCAAGTCAAGATTTTTGAATAAGCTATATTGTGGCGCTTAAATAAGTGAATAATTTATACAATAATGGATGTTGCCTGCTCTAAGCAAGCAAAAGTTAAACGCTGCCCCTAAAAAGTGAAATACACTTAAACAAATAGATATGTGAATAGGTAGGCGCTGCAATGATTATATAACACAAAAGAAAAATAGAGTGAAATAACAATATCACCAAACAAATGGTAGTCCTGAACAAAATATGATGAATAGTGAACATAATATATTATGGTGACAGTCCCATAAAGGAGTAGTCTTGTAGACAAAAAATATCCTCTTTCACTACGTGCAGACAAGTGAATTTGTCACTCACCAGAAAAAATTTACCCTGGTTATGTGGTCAAGTATTGAATCATGTTGATTGGACAGCTCCTAAAAAACATGATTCTACTCCAAGTTTTACTGTGCCGGTAATGGATAAAGGGTACATCACTTGCCTGAGGACGTCGCCAGGCGAAACGTGCGTAGAGCTGTGTTTGTGATACCAATAATGATGGCCGATGTGTGTCACTTCCGGGTTCCCGTGACGTTACATCCAGTCTGTCGAAAGCGAGGCTGGAACACAGTAAATTCGGCCATCATTATTGGTATCAACATACATAACCACCACAGGGGCTGACATAGACTTGTGCCGGTTTATGGGCACCACTACATGTGAGTGCATTGATACTTACTTATCTTGTTTTGCTATTTTCAGTAAATACTACACTTAGAGCAATTTAATTCATTTGGTTTATTTGAGCTGCTTGGAGCATTACCTTTATCTTGAGGAGAGCCTGGGATTGTGAATCCATCCACTATTTGTGCACCCAGAGTCTTGTGATCACCCAACTTGGGGCAGTCCTTTTCGATCCCCTGGATCCATATCTCTTATTAGGAGACTGGGAGGTCTGATCCAAGAGAGCCTGTTGCTGGTCATTATTACTTATAATAACAAAGCGATACTTGACCACCTAACCGGGTCAATTTTTTCTGCTGAGTGAGAAATTCACTTATTGTCTGCACGTGGTGAAAGAGAATATTTTTTGTCTACAGGACTACACCTTTATGGGACTGTCACCATAATATTATTATGTTCACTATTCATCATATTTTGTTCAGGACTACCATTTGTTTGGTGATATTGTTATTTCACTCTATTTTTCATTTGTGTTATATAATCATTGCAGCGCCTACCTATTCACAAGTCAAGCTGTGTCATGCTGATAGACTCATACCTAAAAAGACTGAATGCTGTAATAACATCAAAAGGGACTTCAACAAAATATTAGTTTAACCTCTTCATGCTGGCCGAACGCAAATGTGCGGCCACCCGGCGTCTGGACCTAGACGCCAAGCGGCCATACATTTGGTTCTATTAAAAAAGAACGTGTGCTGAGAGCGCGTACCCTGCGCACTCCCAGCACACGTTTCCATTACTCACGGAAAGGTCCCGATCTCCTCTTTCGATCGGGACCTTTCCCAATCATGTGACGGCACATCACGGCGGTCACATGACTCTAAACCCTACCTTCCGGCTTCTGAAACCCTTAAAGGGCCGGGAGGTGCCGGCACAAAGGGGTTAAGGGTGTGCACACTTATGCAACCATTTTATTTTAGTTTTTTATTTTTGCTTCCCTCCACTTAAAAGATTTCAGTTTGTTGTTCGAGTTCTACAGTTTCTACAATACATTAAAGATGGAAAAAGCTCTGAAATGATTTATCTTTGTCCCATTTTTTACATCACAGAAACCTGACATTTTAACAGGGGTGTGTAGACTTTTTATGTCCACTGTAGGTCCACTAAAAAGAGTCAACTTCTAGCTTTTTATGTTTCATGGGTACTCCCAACAGTGAAATTTCCATGCCATAATTACTGACTGTCTCTGTCCACTTGGACTTTTGGCTGTTCCATCCACCTACGTGTGCTTCAGCATTTCCTGCTGCATTCCCCATAATATAAAATAAATAAATCAGAGTCGCACTGATTTTGAAAGTAGTTCCTGCACTACTTTTTGCGATTTCAGGTGCAACTTGCATAGACATCTGCGCATGAAGTCGCACAGATATCTTCGAAGTCACACCTGAAGTTGCAGTGACATGTGACTTTGAAATTGTGCGACTTCAAGTGAAGTTGCACGATTTCAAAGTCGGATCTGGTGTGAACCAGGAGTTAAAGTTGCTTTTTTTTCCAGTGGCATGGACAACAATCTCCTTAAAAAAGTTCTAATACAGAGTGATTCCCACTTCCATTGTAGGCAACAGTGAGGTCACCATCCTGCTTTTAGTAATAGTTATTTCTGTAGAACATAAGGCTACTTTCACACAGCTCCTGTGAAAAAAGATATGTGACTCAAAAACCACACCAAAAACGCAACCGCATTGCATTTTTGATACATTTTCCATGTATTTCAGTGGGGAGGTGCGTATTTTTTTGTTTTTTTTTACCACATCAAACATGCATCAAAAATGCAGCTTGCAGGACTGTGAAAATAGGACCCACAACTGACTAGTGTGAAAAATGCCATAGGATTTAATGGTCGTGTGTTTTTCTTTTTTTAATAAAAAAAAACAATAGAAAACATCAGTGTGAAAGCAGCCTTATATTAGAACAAATAAGTCCCAGTGTTGGATCCCCCTGCAGGTGGCACTGCAAACTAACTGAAGAAACCTATACTAAAGGCTCGGCAAGTTTTTACAAGGTTATCCTATTTATTGAAGCATTACACAGCTCACAGGAGTAGAGCAATATCTTAGACACAATAAGCCTTTCTCAAGTACAATTACAGCTGCAAACCTCTTTAATACTTTTTTTAAAAATACATATATGGTCATAGTTATCAAAGTGTTTGGGGGACAGCACTGCCTCTCATAGTCTGTATTGTCCTTAAAAAACAACTTTGTTCTCCCTTTAGTTCTTTACAGCACTATGGTAGTGTGTAAGAGAGCAGCTTTCTGGCTGCAGTAGGCAACAAGAAGAATTTTCTTAATCATACATCAAATACACACAGGGCTTCTCCATATTCATGGCTGCCTGGGTTATGCTGGCATCTTCAGGTGAATGACACTGGCCAAAAAAAGTCTGGTCCCCCTCACCCAGGCATAACCCTTCCCAGCTCACCAAACCTGTTTCGTGCCAGCATCTTTTGGGGATGGATGGATTCCATTCTGTGATATTTGTCTGCAGTTTTCTTCCTACCCTATTCTGTAAAACCTTGCTGGGGAAAGGCTTTGTCTGGATCAGTTGTCTATTGCCTTAGGGCCAAGAGGAAGAGTACCCGGACCCTGTTATGGAAGACCGGGGTTGTCCTGTAATGTTGGCAGGGTGCTTTAGAGGTCCAGGGATGTGATCCTCTCTGGGGGGGGGAGTTGTGTCCCTGAAGGCCCTTTTGGGTATGCTTGCTGTGATGGGTAAAGTTTGGTTCTAAGGTCATGGAGCCTGGGCTGGGCAGTGTATGTGTTAGGTGGATTCCTGTGGTGTGCAATCCCCCTGGTGTACTGGAGTCCCTGGCTGTATACTGAGCTGGGGCTGAGATTTTGGGTGGCTGTGCTGCTCTGCCGATAGAGAGTGATATACTGTAATAGAGGTGTTTAAATGGGGCAGCCGCGGGACCAGACTTCACAAAACCGATGTCATTAGCTTGTGCTAGCACAGGTGCCTTGGTTTCCGGGCTAGGAGATATGTATTCCACGTGTTTTGATACACGCAAATCTAACACCTTTAGCGGTGGCGTAGGCACTGCGTTAGCAATGTAGCAGCAGCTCTCATCTACAGCAGTAATTGGGGAACCTTTTTGTGCAGAGGTCCCTTGCCATACCAGGTGTCTTGGCTATTAGCAGACACTCCTTGCACCTGAGTGGCCTTCCTGTCTTCAAGTACCTGACATAATGGGCCTGTTTTCCTCAACAACCCATGGCCGGTGCACAGGCAGGGGTGAAGAATGTGGAGTGGGCTCTCAAATCCCTCTATGTGGTGGGAAGATAACACTACACAGTTCATCCTGAAATAGACCCCCTATGGGTCAAATGAGCTCTGAATATCTGCCCTTGTCTGATATTTTCTTCAGGGGTACAGCTCTCTGCTACCTTTGAACTCTCCGTAGCAATTTCTGGTTGGGGGAATAGATCTCTGGTTTTCTCACAGGTTTGGAACAACTGAGGCTTGATGAGCTGAGAGGGGTCATGCCTGGAAGGGGAAACCTGCCTTTTTTTGGCTAGTGTCCATTCGTCTGAAGGCAGCAGCATAACCCAAGTAGCCATGAGTATGAAGAAACCCTGTGTCCTGTACTATAATCCAAGAAAAGGATTTCACAGGCAAACCAATGATCCCAATTTTTCCTTTAGATTTGAATTTCTAAGTCCTAATGTAAAGGTTAGAAGCACAGTGGCTTAATGACTAGAAGTTATGCCTTGCAGCACTGGGGTCCTTGGTCTAAATCTCGGCCAGGGCACTAGCTTGCATGGGTTCCCTCTGCTTACTCTGGTGATATCCCATACTCCAAAGACATGCTAGTAGGTCAATTAACTCCTGTCTAATTTGGACTTAAAGTAGAACTATAGGTGAATCTATAGTGGGTTTTTTTTTTCTAATTTGGCTAGAGAAAGGGAGAGTTGTAACCCCTGTCCCACTGCAGAGATTTCCCTTCACTTCCTCTCCCATAGCCCAACAGGAAGTGAGAGGAAACCACTGCAAATTAAGGGAAAACCTTTGGGACCCTCAGGTCACCGGAACTGGTGTCCCCATTGGAAGATTACCCCCCCCCCCCTCCCCCGATTACTCTTCTGAGGACAACCCAAAATTTGGGATTTTACTTTCACTTTCAAGGATAATGGTAAGCAGAACAAAAAGAGAGGGTGAATCTCCTTAACGGGGGTACATACAGCAATAAAAACTGACAAGCTTTTTAATTCCTCTCCACCTCTATCCAAAGCAAAAAAAAAAAAGTTTTGCCTTTATTTATACTGTAACCGCTTTCCCGCCAACCTATAGTAGATATACTGTGGTAGGGATGCGCAAAATCACACGTGTGTGTGTGTGAGTTTGCATTTCCGGGTAGGGGGCCCCACCCACGCCACCATTTGTGGCCTCTGCTGTCAATCTCTGGGTCCCAGCCGGTGATTACTCGCCGGCACCCAGTAATCGCAGAGCATTACCGATGGAGGGAGAGAACTGTATATAAACAATATGGTTTTCTCCTCTGTCAGCTCCTGCAGTGTGCTTACAGTTGAAAGCACAGACACTGCACACAGTTAACCCTTTGATCACCCCACATGTTAACCCCTTTCTGCCCAGTGCTATTAGTACAATGTCAGTGCTTTTTATTAACACTAATCATTGTATTGGTGTCACTGGGGATGTCAACGACACCAAGTCTGTTCCCCCCAGTGTCACCAATACACAGTCCTGCTATAAGTTGCTGATTGCCACCATTACTAGTAAAAATAAAAAAACTAACAAAAAACTAAAAATCCAAGTATGTATACCACCATATGTAAATGCTATAACTGTCAAGTAAACCAATTAATTCACACTTATTGGGATTTTATTTAGCAAAGACATGTAGCAATACAATTTGGCCTAAATTTATGATGAAATTTTGATTTTTTTTTTTTTTAATTTTTACTGGACATGTTTAATAGCAAAAAGTAAAAAAATATTGGGGTGTTTTTTTTCTCAAAATTGTCGGTCTTTTGCAATATAAGAGAAAAAAAAAAAAATAAACACACAGGCAATCAAATACCAACAGAAGAAATCTCTGTAGGGAAAAAAAGGAAGTAAAATTCATTTGGGTGCAGCGTTGCATGACCACTCAATTGTCAGTTAAAGTAATGCAACGCCGTAATGCAAAAAATGGCCTGGTCAGAAAAGGGGGTAAATCCTCTGCAGGGCAAGTAGTTAAGTTTACCTTTTCGGGAAAAAAAAACCATCATACACCCTCCCACCCCCTCACTCCCTGCTAGACTTACCTCCATGGGTCATACAGTTCACATTGTCTATGCAGCTCAGTGCAGTGTACCTGGGGTTGAAATCCACACTGTTCTTTCTCGTCCTTCCCTAGGTCAGGAAGGGGGGTACATCCTCTGGAGGGCAATTGGTAATATGTGAGTGCAAACTGGCTACTATTTACATGTGTTATCACATTCTGCAAGCTAGTTCCAAACCGGGCAATTTGGGAGGGGATTGAGCAAAGACCTGTCCACCTATAACATAAAAAATTTAAAGCGTATCAGACACAGTGCACAGAAAGCTGGGCCGTAGATTTGCTGCAAGTCGGATGCAACTGAATGGATATATACATGCATAAAATGTACAGGTGATCATGAAAAGCGTTTTTCTCTATCAAATTTCCCATCACTTTCATTGATGTTCACATATAACCTTTACATTTATAGTGACCGAAAAAAGGTAACAGATAACAGCAGATGTAAGTACAAAGCCAACTGTTTAAAACTATTATTAAACCCTCAGTTCTAAAGCACTTTCACTAGCTGATTTAACCACTTAGTGAGTTCCCCAGCTGATTTAATCCCTTAGTGAGTTCACCAGCTGATTTAATCACTTACCCCTGCCTCACATGTATGCGTCCGTGCGGGCCACGTTTTTGCGCGGACATGAGAGCCCATTCATTTGAATGGACTCCCATGCCCCACGACACGCAGGGAAGAAGCCCCTGCACTTCTTCTGAAAATGCAGCCCGCGGGAACCTCGGTTCCCAGTACGGTTACATTTTCCAGTGCGGGCGGCGTGCCATTAGATCTAATGGCACCTGCCCGCGGGTCCACATTCCTCTGTGCGGATCTGCTGCCGCACCACCCGCACATGTGTGAACTTAGCCTTACTGAGTATTCAGATCCTTTATCTTTTATTCCTTGCCTATGTGCCTTTTCAAGCTGCTGCCATGACCACTGTACCAGATTTCCTGTTTCAGGGTAGCTTCTTTCTCTTGCAGCATCCTATGGAGCCACCCTTGCATTCAGGGGCTAGCACTTTGTCTCCACTCGCCGCGTACATCGATTGAAATGCACACATCTGTAGCCTAGGAGGGAAAGTCACTCCCCTACTCGTCCCTCCCTCCTACCCCTTCCCCAAGCAAACAGACTCTCTCTCTTTAAGCTAACAGCCTGGCTGGAGACTGCACTGTCCGCTGTTAACTCTTTCCTGTGAAGACCGGAAGTTCAAGAAAGCAGCAATGAGAAAGCAGGAGCCAGTAGCATTGATAGTTGTAAAGTGCAAGTGCTGGGGTAAGAATGTTAACAGATAGGTTACTGAGGAATGTTGATTTCACTGTGCCCAATCTGTGAATCTAAAGTAGCTTAGGGGTTAATATAACTTTAAGTTTTACACATATATAGAAATTGTTTTAGTGTCTCTTTTAGGTAAAGGTTACTTGTACGTTTGGGTTTTGTGGGTCATTTTTCCAAAAGTCTTTACACATGACTGATGTCCTCTCCACAAGATTGGTGACTTGTCTTGGCTGTGTGTTTGGTACCCCCCACCTAATCCTTGCAAAACAGATTGTCGGATCTCAGAATTCTGGCATCAAGTCCTGCAAACTCAGTGTTTCATTTAGGAAAGTGGATTTTCATCCTAATTACCAATAATTGTTCATTGTGAAATTACGGACTTATATACACATTGATCTGTTTCCAAACCCCTTTCTTTGCCAGGTGCTTCCCTGGATGGGCCGTTGAAACTGCTTCCTGATAATTACTTTGACCTGGTGGTGATTGATGAGTGCACTCAGGCGTTAGAGGCCAGCTGCTGGATCGCTCTACTGCAGGCGAGAAAGTGTATCTTGGCCGGAGATCACAAACAGCTACCACCCACCATCATATCTCACAAGTAGGGAGGCAAGCACTGCAGTGAATTCCATTTGTCTCAATATCATCAATATTTCTGTCTTCTCATTTCGTCTTCAATACATCTTACTTATTGTATTGTTTTACAAAAGCAACATAAACAGTTGAAATATGTGATCTGTTTTGCCAGTCGGTGGATTTGTAATTGTGTTCAGCCAGTCTTGTGATACCTTTCAGGCCAGTTACCTCTGTTTTCTCTGCTATAATTAAAATGCATCTAAATATAAAACTTTACAGTTGTTACAAGATCATGATTCTGACAATGACTACTGTCTAAGAGGGGAATTCTTCTCACCACCTCTTGTGTGCCTGGAATAAGAAGTAAAGGGAAATCAGTTTTGCTTCTTCCCCCTCCATTGCCACATTTGGCACTTTTTTTTGGGGTGGGAGCTGGTGCCTGGTTTTGAGAGGTTCCCACTCTCACTTCCAGTCAGATGCGCCGCGGCGATCTGCGAAGGAAGTTCTCCCCCTTCCTCCTCAGCCTTCTGGGACACTTCACAGTTCCCAGAAGACTGCAGGACCATGCACAAAGCCATAAGATTTCACTTCCAGTTTCCCTTACTGAAGATGCTGGCACCTGTACCTGAAGCCGATTGATGAATAGGCCTGGGTGAGGACATCTCTGGATCCCTGGACAGGTAATTGTCCTTACATTAAAAGTCAGCAGCTACAGTATTTGTAGCTGATGACTTTTAATCTTTTTGGGGGAGCCTGGAGTGCCTCTCTAAGTAATATATGACCCCTTTCTAATTAATAGACAAAACATATATGCATATAAAAGTATGCTAATGTATGTTTTTACCTGCATATTTATTTTGCTATTGATTGGATAGAATATGATTTATTATGTATGTAATGGTGCATGTCACCATACATTTACATGCATTTTTATTTTGCTGTTTGCAATATAATATATGTTGTTCTGTATGTTATTTTGTATGTCCTCAGCCCTGATAAAGGTGGATTGTTGAGCCCCTGAAATGCATTAGATTTACTGGATTATTCAAAGAGTTATGTTGCTCTCATCCTTCCTACACCATATAGTTCCCAACAGGAACACAGCACTAAAAGTGATTAGTGTTTTACCTGTCCCCAAACTATTCAAAACAAGGAAGAAGTTATGGCTGGTGCTCTACTTTAAGATCCCGGTCACACCGATCTAAATTTGAAATTGTGCGACTTCCAGTGAAGTCACATTATTTCAAAGTCGGATGTCATTCCAACTTGAGGTGCGAGTTGCAAGATATCTGGGCAGATGTCTATGCAAGTTGCACCTGAAGTAGTGCATGCACTAACTTAGAAATTGATGCGGCTCCGAACAAGTCAGAATCATACCGATATGACCGCTTTAATTGTGGATAATAGTGTGCGACTTGCCATGCGATTTACAACTCACATGGCATGGTAAATCACATGGCAAGTCCCACCCGGTTCTACCAGTGTGTAAATATTTTTGGCTGGAAGTCTTCTGTATTTGAGTATTGTGAAATGCATGGTTTTGCATTGTACATTTATGTTGCAGGAAGTATGTTGTTTTTTTTGTTTTTGTTTTTTGAGAATGTCCTTGCAGTCTATGGGTAGTGTACTTCACATTCTAATAATGTGCTAACTCCTGTTGTATTTTTCTTCAGGGCTGCATCAAAGGGCCTTTCCCTCAGCTTGATGGAGCGGCTAATAGAGAAGTATGGGGATAGACTGGTGAAAATGCTGACAGTGCAGTATCGTATGAATGACTCTATAATGCAGTGGGCTTCACAAGCACTGTATGGAGGCAAGCTGACTGCACTCTTCTGTTGTACACCATTTGCTCAAGTAAGTTGTGATCTACTTAGTCTTGCATAGGTATGTTATTGTTGTATTACTGGTAGGTGTGTGCAAACCAAGAATTAGCGATGTTTTCAACCCAGAAAACCCTTTCCATGAGCATATTATTATTATTATTATTATACAGTATTTATAAAGCGCCAATGGTTCGCTCAGCGCTGTACATTACAAAGGGGAAAGCATATACAAGAATAATTATTTTAATAAATCTGTAAATACTTTGACATGTTCTTTGTATATGGCAAAACTCAGATTAAGAGCAGATTTCTATTATTATTGTTATTATTAACAATAATAATTTGGTTGTTCATTTTTTCATGATCGCTAATTTATTGTAAAGCTGGCCATACACCAGTAACATTTTGTTGGAAATTTTTTTTTTTTTAAATTTTGGAACGCGCATTTGATTTCCAGTGGTTGGTAGGGTCAAATTGACAATCGTTTTTTACTGTAATAAGAAAAATTGAAAGAGCAGGATGGAAATGAAACCTATTTTCAGTGAAATAGCAGGTGTGGATGAAGTTTAAGTGATATTAAAGGCTCAATTAAAAAAAAAAATAAATCACGTACAATTTAAAGGTTTTATGTTTTAGAGCTGATTGTAAGTGTTAAAGTTTTACTAAACCCACAACAGTAAAATCAGTGTGTATATGCAGTAAAGCATGCTTGTTATATTCACTGTGGAACCTAAGGGGGTTAATCCTCTGCATTGTGTAAAAAGGCTCTTTGATCCTTTCTTCTCTGCCCCTCCTCTTGTTGAAATGACCACCTGATAGAGACTGAACCCATGGTCACATGCACATGTTCAGTTTGCTGTGTATTGCTAGAGAGGTTTATTTTTTTTCTTGGGAGGGTGCATGTGATCAGCACAAGGCCAATCAGCACTGTCCAGACAGATGTCAGGGGATTTCCATCCTCCTAGAGCAGAAAAAGAAAACTCCTCCTACAAGCTTTAGCTAGTAGTGGGGGCTGGACACTGATAGAAGTCACAAGACTTTTCTCTTAAGTGCTGATGAGAAAAGGTTTTTAGCAGTTTTATATTTACTAAAATAATTGCATTTCCATGTTCTGTGTACTGTGGAAGACCAGATATAGTGAATGCAGGGTCCCTGGGTTTAGTAACATTTTAAAGACACGCTCTGCGGGTAACTTGTTGAGAGATGGGTTTAGGTTAAATGGTAAAGTGTTCAATAAGGTTAAAGTGATATTAAAGACTCAACTCAAAAAAACAAAAAAACTTGTTAGACTTACTTGCTCTGTGCAATAGTTTTGCATAGAGCAGCCCTGTTCCTCCTCTTCTTGGGTCCTCACCGGTGTTCCTGGCCCCTCTCCCCTGCTGAGTGCTCCCATACCAAGTCCCTTGCTATGGGGTACATGTGTGCTCATTCCCAAGCCTCACTCTGTGGGGTTATTTACTAAAACTAGAGAGTGCAAAATCTGGTGCAGCGCTGCATAGAAACCAATCCGTTTCCAGGTTTTATTGCCAAAGCCTAACTGAACAAGCTGAAGTTAGAAGCTGATTGGCTACCATGCACAGCTGCAGCAGATTCTGAGTGCTCCAGTTTTGGTAAATCTACCCCTGTGTGTCTATAAGTAGATCTATATCTGTGTACTTAGCCCTGCTCCCGCCTAACTGGTTGTGATTCACTATGGGAGTGCCTCTGCTCCTGTGCACAGCACTGGATCGAGATCAGGCTCAGGTAAGAGTTAGGGGGCTGTGAGAGAGGAGCAGCAGACTGAAGGTTTTTTACCTTTGTGCATTAAATGCATGAGGGTAAAAAATCTTCAGCCTTTCCAACCACTTTGAGGACCTTCAAAAAAAACCGTTAACTGAATAAGAAGAAAGGAATGTGCTGAGGAATGATTTTTTTCTTATGAACGTTTCAATGAAAATCTAACCATGTATGGCAAGCTTAACAGACATCAATGAACAAAGGGCACAAACTTGTAACAGCCAATCACAACTCACGTTTCACTGATCTCTGAGCTGGAGGAGGCTGTTACTGACTCTGACTACTCATTAAAAGCCCTTTAACACTGATGTGTTTTTGCTGCGTTTTTACTTTGCTAAATACGCAATAAAAATATTTCCCTTTAAATCCTATGGGACTCTTTAACACCACTGCGCTGCAGGTGTGGTGCATTTAAAAAAAAAAAATCCTGGTTGCTGCATCTTTTTTGTGTCCTTTTCAAAAACCACACCAAAAGCACAGCTCCCCATTGAAATGAATAGAAAACACGTCAAAAATACATCACGATTACATTTTTAGTACATTTTTTTTAGTCGCATGTTCATGTTTCACAGGTGCATGCCAACCAAGAAATGCATCAAATACGTTTTTTAACCACTTTCTCTCCTACATGTAAAATCATACTTTTTTGCTATAAAATTACCCAGACCCCCCCAAACATTATATATATCATAATTCTAAGCAGCATTTTCTGTGAATGAAACTTACTTTTCACGCTTTCCCATTGCTTCTAACTGTCAGGAAATTTCCTTTCAGTCCCTTGATGAAATGGAAGCTTATATTGCAGGGAAGATGGTTTAGACATTTTAAGCATTTTTAAGCATTTTAGGCACTGGACTTGCTGTTCTGTTGCAAGGAAAAAAGGCAAACCAGTTAATTGTTACATGGTTGTAATTTGCAGTGTGAGAAGTTAGTTTTTTTTTTTTCATTCAGATCTTGTTTTTATTAAATAGACTGGAGTTTTTTGTATTTTAGGGTACATGCACACTGGACATTAAAACAACTGCTCCTGACATTTGTTTCTGGCAGCAAAAAAAAAACCCCCTTCACTCTAATAAACTTGTTTACTGCATTTACACATGTTTACAAACATTTACCCACATCAAGTGCAGGGGCATTTATTCATTTCGTTGGCCACGATAAATTTATTCTGGCCACTGAAATGAAAAAACGCCCAAGCAATATATGCGCCTAGCGTTAACCTGTGTTTACACGCGTTTTGCATTTTTCTGTCAAAACACTCCACTCCTGAACGCAATCTTTCTGTATTCAGAAGAGCAGCATTTTACTACTACTACTTTAAACTCTGCTGCTCCTAAACTCTGGTAAAAACCTTCGGGGTTGATTTACTAAAACTGGATAGTACAAAATATACTGCAGCTCTGCATGGTAGCCCATTGGCTTCTAACTTCAGCTTTTTCAGTTAAGCTTTGACAAACAAACCTGGAAGCTGATTGATTTCTATGCAGAGGTGCACCAGATTTTGCATTCTCCAGGTTTGGTATATCAACCCTTATGTGTGCATGGACACATAGGCTTTTATTGAGTTGAGTTCAGAGGCTTTGGGGGAAAAAAAAAACGCCAAAAGCTCCCAAATGTGAGTTTACACACAGCAGTGCTCATTTGGCCTTATTGTAGAAAAATATATATATATATTATGTATGTGCATGCAAGCACACAAATACAATTATTCTGTGTAAGTTAGGGCTGCTATAGATGGTGTGATTTATAGCAGCTTTTACAGAAGCAGCACTTTTGTTAGTTACTTGTGAAATATAGTCATAGGTCATATGATAACTAGCCACTCTGGAGATCCTACCTCTGGCAGCAAATTACCAGTAACAGAATTGCTAATCAGGCTAATGAACTTCTACCACAGCAACTTTCCCTTAATTGGCAAACGTGTTACAGAATCTCGCTCTCCAGTGGGGGAGTAGCAATGGAGTAAACACTTGTTAGTTTGGCCAACAAAGGAGCAATGCTGTAGGAGAAGGTGAACATTCTCTCTGCTCTGTTTGTAGTCCTGTCACCTACAGGTTCACTAGTGTGATTTGGGCCTAGAAGATTCTAATGTGTGAACTCTGCATGAAAAAATGCTAGGTATTTACTATGCTTTTTTTTTGCTCAACATCTTAGAGATTTGCCTGGGGTGGCATTAACTGAAGAGACCAGTATACCGTTACTGCTTATAGACACGGCACACTGCGGGCTGTTTGAGATGGATGTTGAAGATGAGCAGTCAAAAGGGAATCCAGGTAATACAGTGTCTTAAAGGGTTAATTCACCTTTACCAAAAAACTGTCTATGCAGCTAATGGGTGTCTATAGATTAAAAACAAACTGCACAGCTTTGAGTAAAGTAGAATAATGCCCTTGTTATAGGTGTAGGCTGTTTACGTACCTCATGAACCCTGACCTGAAAACTCCCAGGACATTGCTAGGAAGTTCCTAAGCGAGGCCTAGCTATTACTGTTCACCTTCACTTTCGCAGGAGTGAGCTTTTTCTCAGCTTCAAACCTCATCACATGTGCTTTCTCTCCTCTGATGCAGTATCTGAGCTCCTGTGAGAGCTTGCTCTTGTGATGGTGAAGGTGAACAGTAATAGCAAGGCCACATCCTGGGAGTTTTCAAGTCATGCTTCATGAGGTACATAAATGGCCTACACAGGGTGTCGGCAACCCGCGGCTCAGAGCCGCATGCGGCTCTTTTTCACCTTGGCTGCGGCTTCCGGAGCACACCAGGTGACAGGCAATGGCAGCAATGGGCTACGGCCCGGCGGAGCTCTCGGCCTGCGGACTAGCTCCCGCTAGGCTCCTCTCACAGTCCGCCCTGAAGACTGGTGTAGCATGAAAATCTGTCTCCTATGAGGATCTGTCCCCCTCGACGTATCTGCGCATGTGCCGGAGATCGCCGATCGGCTGCTAATGCCTGAAACTGGCACATGCGCAGATACGTTGAGGGGACAGATCCTCATAGGAGACAGATTTTCATGCTACACGGAACGGCGCGGGAACACGGCGAGAGGAACGCGCGGAGCAATGGTAAGTGATATTGACACAGGGGGGACTTGGGGACTTAATATGGGGGATGAATTACTATAGGGGGGATGAATTACTATATGGGGGATGAATTACTATGGGGGATGAATTACTATATGGGGGATGAATTACTATATGGGGGATGAATTACTATGGGGGATGAATTACTATATGGGGGATGAATTACTACTATGGGGGATGAATTACTATGGGGGATGAATTACTATATGGGGGATGAATTATTACTATGGGGGATGAATTACTATATGGGGGATGAATTACTATATGGGGGATGAATTACTATATGGGGGATGAATTACTATATGGGGGATGAATTACTATGGGGGATGAATTACTATAGGGGGGATGAATTACTATATGGGGGATGAATTACTATATGGGGGATGTATTTTCAGTTTTAAAAATGTGGCTCTCAAAATAAATTTCAGTCGTGGTTTTGGCGAGATTTGGCTCAGTTGAAATAAAAGGTTGCCCACCACTGGCCTACACAAAGAGCAAAGCAATTATTGGACTTTAGTCAAACCTGCACAGTTTGTTTTTATATCTACAACATGCCCCTTCGTGCACATCACACACACACACACGCACGTCCATGTATATTTGGACACAGGCACAATTTTCATACTTTTGGCTCTGTATGCCACCAGAATAAATTAAATCGAAACAATCCAAATTAATTTGAAGTGCAGACTTTCATCTTTAATTCAAGGGCTGGAACAAAAATATCAAGTACAAATTTTAAGAACTGCAACCATTTTTATACACAGTCCCTCCATTTTCAGGAGCTCAAATGTAATTGGACAAATGAATATAGTCATTATTAAAATGTTCATTGTTAATATTTTGTTGAGAATCCTTTACTGGAAATGACTGCCTGAAGTCCGGAACCCATGGACATTACCAAAGACTGGGTTTCCTCCTTTCTGATGCTTTGCCAGGCTCTAACTGCAGCTGTCTTCAGTAGTTCTTTGTGGGTATTTCTGCCTTTAGTTTTGCCTTCAGCAAGTGAAATGCATGCTCAATTGGGTTGAGATCAAGTGATTGACTCGGCCATTGCAGAATATTCCACTTCTTTTCCTTCAAAAAAGCTCCTGGGTTGCTTTTGCATTATGTTTTAGATCATTGTCCATCTGTACTGTGAAGCGCCATCCAATCAACTTTGCTGCATTTGGCTGAATCTGGGCTGACAGTATATCTGTAACCACTGCAGAATTCATCCGGCTGCTTGTCTTCTGTCACATCATCAATAAACACCAATGACCCAGTGCCACTGGAAGCCATGCATGCCCATGCTATCACACTGCCTCCACCGTGTTTTACAGATGACGTTGTGTGCTTTGGATCATGAGCTGTTCCAAGCCTTCTCCACACTTTTTTTTTTTTCTTCTCGTCATTCTGGTACAGATTAATCTTAGTTTCATCCGTCCAAAGAATGCTTTTCCAGAATTGGTCTGACTTTTTTAGATGTTTTTTGGCAAAATCTAATCTGGCTTTTCTACTCTTCAGGCTTATGAATGGTTTGCACCTTGTGGTGAACCCTCTGTATTCGCTCTTGTGACGTCTTCTCTTGATTGTAGACTTTGACAATAATACGCCCACCTCCTGGAGAGTGTCATTCACTTGTCTGGGTGTTGGGAATGGGTTTTTCTTTACCATAGAGAGGATCCTGCCATCAGCCACCACTGTTGTCTTCTGTGGACATCCATGCCTTTTTATGTTGCTGAACTCACCAGTGCATTCTTCTTTCCTCGGAATGTACCAAACTATTGATTTGGCCACTCCTAATGTTGCTGCTATCTCTCTGATGGATTTGTTTCATTTTTGAAGCCTTACAATGGCCTCTCACTTGCATGGACAGCTCCTTTGAACACATAATGTAGGTTCACAGCAGTAAATTCCAAATGCAAATACCACACTTAGAATCAACTCCAGACCTTTTACCTGCTTAACTGATGAAGAAATAACAAAGAAGTAGCCCACACCTGGTCATGAAACAGCTTTTGATTCTATTGTCCAGTTGCTTTTGGTCCCTTGAAATGGGGGGGGGGGGGTGACTACTCTTAAGAGCTGTAATTCCTAAACTGTTCCTCCAATTTGTCTGTACATACCCTCAGAATAAACCTGAGCGTGTGCACTTTCAGCCCATATCCATTATATAACTATAGCTTGTTGTGTCCAAATATATATGGACCTAACTGTATATACAGTTGTGTTCAAAATAATAGCAGTGTGTTGAAAAAAGTGAATAAAGCTCAAAATCCTTCTAATAGCTTTTATTTCCATACACACAATTGCATTGGGAACACTACACATTCTATTCCAAATCAAAACATGAAGAAAAATATATCAAATTTGTATTGTTCCTCTAAAAAAAAATTGAAGAAAAGTGAATATTAGACTGTTCAAAAAAATAGCAGTGTTTGTATTCTTCTTTACATTCTCAAACATTCACTATATAAACTGAAAAATGTTTGAAGATTTTGCTTTCCTTTGAATGACTTAATTAATATTTAGTTGTATAAGCACTGTTTCTGAGAACTGCTGTACATCTTGTTGCATGGAGTCAACCAACTTCTGGCACCTGTGAACGGTATTCCAGCCCAGGATGATTGGACTACATTCCACAGTTCTTCTCTATTTCTTGGTTTTGCCTCAGAAACTGCATTTTTGATGTCACCCCATAAGTTTTCTATTAGATTAAGATCCGGGGATTGGGCTGGCCACTCCATAACATCAATCTTGTTGGTCTGGAACCAAGATGTTGCACGTTTACTGGTGTATTTGGGGTTGTTGTCTTGTTGGAACACCCATTTCAAGGGCATTTCCTCTTCAGCATAAGGCAGCATGACCTCTTCAAGTATTCTGACGTATTCAAACTGATCCATGATCCCTGGTATGCGATAAATAGGCCCAACACCGTAGTATGAGAAACATCCCCATATCGTGATGCTTGCACAACCATGCTTCACTGTCTTCACAGTGTACTGTGGCTTGAATTCAGTGTTTGGGGGTCGTCTGACAAACTGTCTCCGGCCACTAGACCCAAAAAGAACAATCTTACTTTCATCAGTCCACAAAATGTTGCGCCATTTCTCTTTAGGCCAGTCAATGTGCTCTTTGGCAAATTGTAACCTCTTCAGCACGTCTTTTTTTTCAACAGTGGGACTTTGCGGGGGCTTCTTGCAGATAGCTTGGCTTCACATAGGCGTCTTCTAATTGTAACAGTCCTCACAGGTAACTTTAGACCTTCTTTGATCTTTCTGGAGCTGATTGTTGGCTGAGTGCTTGCCATTTTGGCTATTCTTCAATCCATTCAAATGGTAGTTTTTCGCTTTCTTCCACGTCTTTCAGGTTTTGGTTGCCATTTTAAAGCATTTGCGATCATTTTAGCTGAGCATCCTATAATTTTCTGCACTTCTTTATATGTTTTCCCCTCTCCAATCAACTTTTTAATCAAGGTACGCTGTTCTTCTGAACAATGTCTGGAACAACCCATTTTCCTCAGAATTTCAGAGAGAAATGCACTGTAACCAGCATGCACAACATTTGCTGCCTTCCTTCCTTAAATAAGGGCATAAATTGCTGCCACCTGTTTTTCAAAGAATGAATGACCTCACTAATAGAACTCCACACTGCTCTTATTTTGAACATGCCCCTTTCAATTAGTGATTCAATTACACAGAATCAGCAGCATGCATGTCATGACTGTTGGGTCTGTTGGATTTCTATTACTCTACTACACCTGCTAGTAAATTATTTGCCATTTAGAAATATCATTTCTACCAAAAACAGTGATTGATCAGGTTAGTGATGTTTGACTGCTATTATTTTGAACACAACTGTATATAAAAAATTATAAATACCTTTTTTCCCTATTTTCTAAGTGATCACATACCCTCTGTTCTCAGCTGCATACAGGGCTTATAGAGGTGGAGGAGGAGAAACAGCAGGACGCTGGTATTCTTAGTGAATGACTGTGCAGGGGGGCTGTGTCAGCAGAATCTGCTCAATGGAGGAGAGCAGGCTGAGCACCCAGCACAGCTAGAGAACTGACCACACTGTGCTCACTTGCCTAGTGTGGTCAGTTTTTTAATAGGAAAGCAGAGGGAAACAATACAAAGAGAACACGATACTTTGTCATACATGTATGTGATACAGCAAGCACATATCAGGAATAGCAAATGTTGGTTTTACGTATTCTTTAAATTAGATCTCAACCCAAAGTTATCATTTTGTTTGCTAAAGTGCTGTGTATCGCTAAAGCTGAACTCTGGTAAAAATGATTTTTGGATATTTGCCATGTACCTATAAATCTCTAATGAGGTGTCTTCCATCTGTGGATGGCTTACTTAAAACGGTTAGTTTCATTCAGCCCAAACAGTACAGGAAGTGCTGAACCTTGCAATTTCAGCTCTCATACAGTACATACAGTGAAGGCTATTTGTGTTACTTGCACACCTCCTCCATTCTTAAAACAGCTTTGTATTCATTTCACTGAATGGTGCTATGTGATTGGAGAGGGGAGAGTCAGATGAATGTTACAATCTCCCCTCCCCCATCATAGAACTGTATTCAATGAAAAGAATGCAAAACATTTTTATGAATTGAGGAGGTGGAGTGTGAGTGAATCACATAGCCTTCATGGTGTGTGCTGTATGAAAACCAGAATTGTAAGTCTCTGCTCCAGAAATGCAGCAACTGAAGTAAAGCTGCAATCATACACATTTTGGACACACCTCATTAGATTTATTGGTACATCACAAATATACAAAAATAATTTTTTCCCAGAATTCAAGACCAAACATTTTTTTTTTTTTTTTTTAAATAACATACTTGTTTCATCCTCTTGCATCTTGGCTCTGCTGATCTCCTACATCCTTGTTAAACTGCAACATCAGCTGCATTTTGTTGCTCTGGTTAGTTTACAGATTATGACAATGGTGGACCATACCTGCTCAATGTGTGCCAAGCATGGCTACTTGTTATCTCCATCAGGAATGCATGTGAGAAAGTGACAACACACAATTTAGAGACAGCTGTCACTCAGAACAAGAAGTACCTGAACAAAGACCATTATGGCAGCATCACCAGACATTATTTTAACCGCTTAACTGCCGCCCTATAGCAGATATACGTCTACAGGGCGGCAACTCTGCGCAAAAACACGTAAATATATGTGATTTTGTATTTCCAGGTAGGGGGGGCGCACACTGCCCTACCCACATTGCCATTGGTTGCAGCGGATGTCAGTCAGCGGGTCCCGGGCGGCCATTCTTGGCTGACACTTGGCTGATCGCCGCTAAAGCTGAGAGGAGAGAGATCTGTGTGTAAACAATACAGATCTCTCTCCTGTCAGCATGGACATGCTGCTTTCTCTCTCTCTGCACAGCAGAGCAGCAGGGAGAGAGAAAGCAGCATGCCTCCCTAGTAAAACAGCACACAGTGTAAGCACAACACAACACACAGTTAACCCTTTGATCACCCCAGGTGTTAACCCCTTCCTGCCCAGTGTCATTAGTACAGTGCAGTGTCAAGGCTTTTTCTTAGTGCTGATCACTGTATTAAGGTCACTGGAGATGTCGGTGACAGTCAGTTCCCACCCAATGTCAGAATGCCCGCCGCAGTCCCGCTGTAAGTCACTGATCGCCGCCATTACTAGTATAAAAAAATAAAATAATAATTCTAGTATGTATACCGCCATTTGTAGACACTGTAACTTTAACGTAAACCAATTTATTTACACTTATTGGGATTTTGTTTTAGCAGAATACATTTTGACCTAAATTTATGAAGAAATTTTTTTTTTATTGGATATGTTTATAGGAAAAAGTCACAAATATTGTTTCGTTTTTTTTTTTTTTTTTTTTTTTAATTTGACGGCCTTTTTTGTTTATAGCGCAAAAAATAAACGCAGAGATGATCAACTACCACCAAAAGAAAGCTCTATTTGTGGGAAAAAACGTACATAAATATAATTTATGTAGAGTGTTGCATAATGCAGCGCTGTATTGCAAAAAATGGCCTGGTCAGGAATTGGCGGTAAATCCTCTGGAGGGCAAGTGGTTAATGTAGGCTGCAGATTTAAAATGATTAAAAGCAACTTCTGTAATTACATTGATAAAAGATATGAGATTTTAGTGGTTGGATTTAGATCTGCTTGAATTGCATACTAGGATCCATGGGCTTGCTTTTTCTCTTGCCAGGTGAGGTGCGGCTGGTGGAGTCACACATTCAGACACTGACTAGTGCTGGTTTGAAGTCTCGGAATATTGCTGTTATAACGCCCTACAACCTGCAGGTGAGAACACTTATTTTGGCATAACTCTTCGAAGCATCATTTTGCATCTGAACTATCCACAATAGTTTCAGTGCAGTTATAGAAATGAGAACACTGCGTTCTCATTTCCACAGACAATACTGCTAACTAGTCCTTTGCCCTCTGTCTGCCTATTTTGGGCACAGCTTCCAGAATTAAAGTCCCCTTTAATAAAGGAACTATTGAAATAAAATAAGCTCTACTGTTATGTATCAATAGTAGATATCCTTCTGTACTTTGTCAGCTATGATGATGCAATGGTGGGGGGGTGTAATAACCTATATTGATATTAATGCAGAGTGTACACAGATGATAGATTATATTTGCCATAAAAAGCTTGAATGTCAGCTGATTCCTGGTGAATCAACCAAAATGTAAGCTATGTGGGATCCTGTAAGCACCACCAGACTTGAAAAGTTGACCAAAAAAATCATCTGAAGCGGGTGGCTAATTATTGGCCAAACAGTGACTGCATCCTGTCAGATGCAGTTACTGTTCAACAGCTCCTTTGTATTCAGGTAGTCACAGCTTATTATTATTTGCTGGGCTAGTAAGAGGAAAATGTAACTGCTCTCATTTTTTGTATACTCTAAATTAATAACGCACAAAACTGTAAATACAAGGCTTTTAAAATACATAGTGCCTGACAGTTCTGCTGGTCCTCTGACTTAAATAAGTATGTAGATTCAGAAGGTCAGAGAAAGCCTCCTTATCTGCATGCTTGTTCCGTGTCAGCGACTCAAAATGTGAAGCCAAAAGATTAGCATGAGAGCTAATCGTCTAGTATTTTCAGATTGATGTGTTGGAGCCTCCATGTTTCTTTTATTAAAAGGTTTCCTTTCTATTTTATTTTCTCACAAATGTACATTTTTCAAGGAGGGGCCCTGTAAAAATTTGATTCTGTCAGGAACTGATACCACTCCAGGTCTGTGAAGCTCTTGACCTTGGCATCTTTCAACTCCTGGTGTGCCTGTGACAGCTGCTGCTGGGCTAAACTGAGCGTTCCCCATCACCTGCCAAACTGAATTAGTTGTCTGTACTGTATATTCCTGAGGAAAAGGCATTAAGGGGAGGGTGGTACTGACATAGTGAGGCAAGCCTGCAGCATTTCTGTGCTCCTTGTCGTCTGGTGCATTCTCTCAAGGAATATATGGCGCTATCCGCTAGGCATAGGGAAAACAGGAAATGTGTATTTCAGACAAGCAGTATTCTTTACATCATTCTAGGGCATAGTCCATGCTAGGACTGCAGGAAACTGTAAAGAGCTGATGAGAGATGCAACCACTATTAACACCATCCAGAACTAAAAAATATTCGGGTGGAGTAGTAAGAACACAAGTCGTTTCACCTGCCATATCTGACTACTTGACACTTTTCATAAGTGCCTTATTTTTTTTCTTCTGTGCATTTTTTATTCTTTATTTAAATAAAACTGTAAAGAAGATATAAATAAGCTGTTTAACTATATAAAAAAATCACAGCCACATGGTTATTCATTACATGGTGGTTGTTCTGTAAAATCAATATAATTTTTAATAGTGAGAGAAATCAAAAAATGAGTTAAATGATATAGAATAAAAGGAACTCGCTGTGCACTGTCGCAGGAAAAATAAAAGCACACAAGTGACACTGATTTTTTTTAAAGTAAAAAAAATGAAGTATTATATTCCCTCTCTATTTACACACAATGGGAATGAACATTTAGCCAAGAGGAAGAACATTTTGGGGTAGATTTACTAAAACTGGAACACTCAGAACCTGGTGCAGCTGTTCATTGTAGTCAATCAGCTTCTAACTTAAGCTTTTTCAATTAAGCTTTGGCAATCAAATCTGGAAGCTGACTGCTTTCTATGCAGAAATTCACCAGATTTTGCACACTCCAGTTTTAGTAAATAACCCCCTTTGTGTCCATGTTTATTGTGGCTGTAGTAAACTTCGCACCCAAGTTCTGCACAAGCATTGTGCTAGCGACTAGGCTACCATGTTGCCATATGTGGGTGCAATGCTAATCACAAGGTTTGCCTTGCTGCCATATGTAGGAATATATTATCTTTTGCCTCCTTTCATTGCTCAGGTGGATTTGCTACGCCAGTGTCTACAGCACAGATATCCTGATCTTGAAATTAAGTCTGTGGATGGTTTTCAAGGAAGAGAGAAGGAAGCTGTTATTTTGTCCTTTGTGAGATCCAATTCTAAAGGTCAGTGAAGTGTACATGAACAGTCCACATCAATCGGCAGTCTCAGTTAGGCTTTTAAGCACTTCAGCTCTCACACCTGCATACCCCTATGGACCAGAGCATTTTTACATCTCTGCTATGGGCCAATGTATTCAACAATAACTTTGTCATTGCTTAAGATAGCAAAGTAATACATATATTATGTGTTAGTCTGTTTTAGAAAGTGTTTGTTTAACAGCAGCTGCTGATTTTACACAGCAACAAAAATTGCCGGAAAATGCAAGGGGATGCAGCAAAAGGGACCAATGTCCTGTGTACTTTGATTAAATATTTTTGAGTGTGTATAGCATGCCCACAGTCCACAACTGGTTAGGATGACAATCGTAAGTTCAGTATTCACAGAACGTTCGTTTGTTTAATTGCTTACTAAACTCCTATAGCATTTCCTGTCATTTGAAAAGGGGCTATCAAGGCTCTACAAAGCACCTTAAAGTGATATTAAAGGGTTTTTTAAAAAATAACAAACATGTTATACGTACCTGCTCTGTTCAGTGGTTTTGCACAACAGCCCTGATCCTCCTCTTCTCTTCTCCGGTCCCCGACGGTGCTCCTGGGCCCACCCTTTTGCCTAGTGCCCCCAGAGCAAGCAGCTTGCTATGGGGGTACCCAAGCAGGCTCACTCCTGAGCTACTGCTCTGCATGTCCATTCACAGACAGAGCTGCGGCTCGGCCCCACCTCCTCTCTCTCCTCATTGGCTTACTGGCTCCCACTGCTGTCTCAGCCAGTGAGAAAGTAGAGTCCCCGGGGAGCTGTGGCTCTTGTGCACATCGCTGGATCATGGCTCCAGTAAATATTGGGGGGGGGGGGGGGGCTGCTGCACACAGAAGTTTTCTTTACCTTCATGCACGGAATGCATGAAGGTACAAAACCTTGAGCCTTTACAACCACTTTAGGTACTAACAATGCTCCGTAAACAACAAATAATATGCAAAGTATGGTGAACCTAGTTTAAAAGCCTTTTAATTACCACAAGTTAACTCCTTCCATTATTTTGTGGGGGCTGTTGGAGTGAGTACAAGAGTAGCTTACATCCATTAGAGCAGCCACTGTATCACTGAAAATGAGCCATTTCCCTTCTGCATGTCACACTTATTTTCTATGTTCTGTAAATATGTATGGTGGACAGTTCCCAGACTGCTGAGCAGTGCACACAACAAAGATTCAAACTGCCACCCTTAGAATACAAGATACTTTTCTAATGTAATTGGTTTTTGGTTTTCACTTTACTTCCCATTCCTATAAAATGTTGTCCAAAGATACAAAACTGCTTTAGTAAAAGTAGGCTTTTATAGCTGGGAATTTTTTTTTTCAACAGTGCAGTGGTGGCATTTCACGACTCGAGGGAAATTGAGGCCATGAAGCAAGGTGCCAGCTTTGTTCCATGCTGCTTTTAGAGGGCGCCACCTGAGACAGAATTCTCACCTTAGTTTAAGCAGAACACTTTTATGTTAAATTGGCTAAAGGTTTTTCAACCTTCGTGCATTCTCTTCATTAAGGTAAAAAACCTTCCATGATCACCAGACGTTTAGGGCCACTTTGTGCAAAACTATTGCACGAACATGTTTATTATTTTAAGAAAAAAAAAAGAACCTTTCCAATCATTTTAGGTACTACAATCATAAAGGGATTAAACCATAAAAAAGCCTCTTTCCTGACCATGCAGTACAGGGTACAGGCTGTTTTTCATCTGTACAACTGGGTTTTAAGCTGCTGCCTTCAGGTGATTGGACACTGAAAAAAAAAGCTGGGAAATTTCCTATATAACCCCTCCCACTCCCAGCTAGCCTCAGTTTTTTTTGCAAATCTTAGGGGACGGACCCCTTTATGCTGAGAGAAGCTTACCTTCTCCGTTTCCAATCTGTCAAATTTTGGTTGCACTGTAGCCATTTAGGCAGCTTCTGGATCAGTTGACTCCTTGTCTGCACCTTGGAAAGACTTACCTTGATCCTACCCCACTGATAATGTGGGGGGTGGCCTGTGATGTTGCTTTTGCACTGGATACTTCTGCCCTTGGCATGCAGTAGATTGTGTAAAGTTAACCTCAGGGTTATGTAGAGGTCCGGAGTTCACAGTCTACCTGGAGCAGAGGCTATACTCTGAAGACCCTTGCTGGGGTATACTCATCCAGAATGGCTAAGCTATAAAGGGGTTAAACCCCCATGTTTCAGCATCTGATGGGTAAGTGCAGGGAGAAGAAGCTCTGTAAACTTTCACCCAGTGCGCCCTTCTTTATATTTTGTACTTTGGGGGTTTGTTTTTGGCTATTTTCTATTGTTTAGAAATGGCTCCAGCATGGCAGGTTTTAAGTGTTTTGGCATTTTTCATCCAGAAAGATGATGTTCAGGAGGGCTTTTGCATTACAGTTCTCAACTAGTTCCCAGGGATTCAAAATTTTTGCATGGAGAATTCCAGGGGATTCATTGCCTCCTTTCTTCCAGTGAAGTTTCTGGCCTCTATATACAGTTGTGTTCAAAATAATAGCAGTCAGACATCACTAACCCGATCAATCACTGTTTTCAGTAGAAATGATATTTCTACATGGCAAAAATAATTTACTAGCAGGTGTAGTAGAGTAATAGAAATCCAACAGACCCAACAGTCATGACATGCATGCTGCTGATTCTGTGTAATTGAATCACTAATTGAAAGGGGCATGTTCAAAATAATAGCAGTGTGGAGTTCTATTAGTGAGGTAATTCATTCTTTGAAAAACAGGTGGCAATTATTGCCCTTATTTAAGGAAGGAAGGCAGCAAATATTGTACATGCTGGTTACAGTGCATTTCTCTCTGAAATTCTGAGGAAAATGGGTCGTTCCAGACATTGTTCAGAAGACCAGCGTACCTTGATTAAAAAGTTGATTGGAGAGGGGAAAACCTATAAAGAAGTGCAGAAAATGATAGGCTGATCAGCTAAAATGATCGCAAATGCTTTAAAATGGCAACCAAAACCTGAAAGACGTGGAAGAAAGCGAAAAACTACCATTCGAATGGATAGAAGAATAGCCAAAATGGCAAGGACTCAGCCAACAATCAGCTCCAGGAAGATCAAAGAAGGTGTAAAGTTACCTGTGAGTACTGTTACAATTAGAAGACGCCTATGTGAAGCCAAGCTATCTGCAAGAAGCCCCCGCAAAGTCCCACTGTTGAAAAAAAGACGTGCTGAAGAGGTTACAATTTGCCAAAGAGCACATTGACTGGCCTAAAGAGAAATGGCGCAACATTTTGTGGACTGATAAAAGTAAGATTGTTCTTTTTGGGTCTAGTGGCGGAGACAGTTTGTCAGATGACCCCCAAACACTGAATTCAAGCCACAGTACACTGTGAAGACAGTGAAGCATGGTGGTGCAAGCATCATGATATGGGGATGTTTTCTCATACTACGGTGTTGGGCCTATTTATCGCATACCAGGGATCATGGATCAGTTTGAATACATCAGAATACTTGAAGAGGTCATGCTGCCTTATGCTGAAGAGGAAATGCCCTTGAAATGGGTGTTCCAACAAGACAACGACCCCAAACACACCAGTAAACGTGCAACATCTTGGTTCCAGACCAACAAGATTGACGTTATGGAGTGGCCAGCCCAATCCCCGGATCTTAATCCAATAGAAAACTTATGGGGTGACATCAAAAATGCAGTTTCTGAGGCAAAACCAAAAAATAGAGAAGAACTGTGGAATGTAGTCCAATCATCCTGGGCTGGAATACCTGTTCACAGGTGCCAGAAGTTGGTTGACTCCATGCAACACAGATGTACAGCAGTTCTCAGAAACAGTGCTTATACAACTAAATGTTAAGTGATTCAAAGAAAAGCAAAATCTTCAAACATTTTTCAGTTTATATAGTGAATGTTTGAGAATGTAAAGAAGAATACAAACACTGCTATTTTTTTGAACAGTCTAATATTCACTTTTCTTCAATTTTTTTAGAGGAACAACACAAATTTGATATATTTTTCTTCATGTTTTGATTTGGAATGGAATGTGTAGTGTTCCCAATGCATTTGTGTGTATGGAAATAAAAGCTATTAGAAGGATTTTGAGCTTTATTCACTTTTTTCAACACACTGCTATTATTTTGAACACAACTGTACATCAAAACCTCCAGAGTTTCTACCTACACATCCCCATTTTTTGCAGCATCAGATATACTGGGTTTGTGTTCCGCAAGCAGAACTTCCAGTTTGTCATCCTCCCATTTGATCTGCCTATGACTCCTTGAGTTTTTTCCAAGAGTCTGGTATTTGCTTTGCTCTGCACTTGGGGAAATTCATGTTTTGGGGAAGATCTGCTGATGAAGAACCAGTCTTCTCTGTCCCTGAGGGACAACATCTGACAGACCATAGAAATTCTGCAGGTTTTCTGGTGGATACTCAAATCTGAGGAAATCATCGCTGTGCCCATCTCACAGATTGGAGTATCTGGTCATGTATCTAGCCATGACCCTATCCAGGGTCTTCCTGCCCCAGGACAAACTTCTGTTTCAAGGGGCTCAGAAGCAAACTTGGATTGTGCCTGCATGACAGTTCTGGGCCTTATGGTTGCCTCCTCCCAGGCAGTTTCACTCCAGACTGTTGCAATGCAGCATTCTAGCCATGTGGAACAGACTCTGTCATTGAAGAAACCAATATGATTAAATCCTAGAGCCAAGCTCTTCTTAGCATGGTGAATTTACAACCTAGAATATGTATTCATGAGACCAATGCCCTAGAATATGTATTACTTTTATATTACTGATGTGACTTTTGTTACTGCTCCTGCTTTTACTTTGGTTTAGTTATTTTGATATGGTTTTGTAACAACTTGTATGCACTGTGGCTTGAGCCTTCCAGTTGGTTTTAAGAGGCCAGTGACAGCCCAATTCTTGTCCTGAGGACTCTCACACTTGTGCTTGTACCTTGAAGCAGTTCTGCTTTGGTACTATGTTATGTTTTTTGGGGGGGGTTTTTTTTCTTTTTG